GAAATGACTTCCTTTACCATTTTACTTTTAACATCCTCTTGTCCAGCTACTATTTCAACTGGACTCAATTCTTTAAGTTGATCCACCGGCGATTTTGGTTTGTGATCATGTATTTTTGCTATACCCTCAGGAATGGCTGGAGACAAAACTTTTTCTTCAGTAGGAGCTTTAATATCTTGTTTTTCTACATGAATTGGGCTTAATTTAGTAACGTCCTGGATTGGCGATTTTATTTTGTGTTCTTCAAATTTAAGATCCTTTTCTGCAGGGACTGAAATGATTTCCTCTACAATTTTACTTTTAACATCTTCTTGTCCAGCTATCATTTCAACTGGACTCAATTCTTTAGGTTGATCCACCGGCGATTTTGGTTTGTGATCATGTATTTTTGCTATACCCTCAGGAATGACTGGAGACAAAGCTTTTTCTTCAGTAGGAGCTTTAATATCTTGTTTTTCTACATGAATTGGGCTTAATTTAGTAACCTCCTGGATTGGAGATTTTATTTTGTGTTCTTCAAATTTAAGATCCATTTCTGCAGTGACAGAAATGATTTCCTCTACAATTTTACTTTTAACATCTTCTTGTCCAGCTATCATTTCAACTGGACTCAATTCTTTAGGTTGATCTACCGGCGATTTTAGTTTGTGATCGTGTATTTTTTCTTTATCTTCAGGAATTAGTGGAGATAAAACCTTTTCTTCAGTAATAGTTTTAATATATTGTTTTTCTACATGAATTGGGCTTAATTTAGTAACCTCCTGGATTGGAGATTTTATTTTGCCTTCTTCAAATTTAAGATCCTTCTCTGCAGGGACTGAAATGATTTCCTCTACAATTTTAGTTTTAACATCTTCTTGTCCAGCTACTATTTCACCTGGACTCAATTCTTTAGGTTGATCCATCGGCGATTTTAGTTTGTGATCATGTATTTTTTCTTTATCTTCAGGAATTAGTGGAGACAAAGCTTTTTCTTCAGTAGGAGCACTAATATCTTGTTTTCCTACATGAATTGGGCTTAACTTAGTAACCTCTTGGATTGGAGATTTTATTTGATGATCTTGAAATTTAAGATCCTTTTCTGCAGGGACTGAAATGACTTCCTTTACCATTTTACTTTTAACATCCTCTTGTCCAGCTACTATTTCAACTGGACTCAATTCTTTAAGTTGATCCACCGGCGATTTTGGTTTGTGATCATGTATTTTTGCTATACCCTCAGGAATGGCTGGAGACAAAACTTTTTCTTCAGTAGGAGCTTTAATATCTTGTTTTTCTACATGAATTGGGCTTAATTTAGTAACGTCCTGGATTGGCGATTTTATTTTGTGTTCTTCAAATTTAAGATCCTTTTCTGCAGGGACTGAAATGATTTCCTCTACAATTTTACTTTTAACATCTTCTTGTCCAGCTATCATTTCAACTGGACTCAATTCTTTAGGTTGATCCACCGGCGATTTTGGTTTGTGATCATGTATTTTTGCTATACCCTCAGGAATGACTGGAGACAAAACTTTTTCTTCAGTAGGAGCTTTAATATCTTGTTTTTCTACATGAATTGGGCTTAATTTAGTAACCTCCTGGATTGGAGATTTTATTTTGTGTTCTTCAAATTTAAGATCCATTTCTGCAGTGACAGAAATGATTTCCTCTACAATTTTACTTTTAACATCTTCTTGTCCAGCTATCATTTCAACTGGACTCAATTCTTTAGGTTGATCTACCGGCGATTTTAGTTTGTGATCGTGTATTTTTTCTTTATCTTCAGGAATTAGTGGAGATAAAACCTTTTCTTCAGTAATAGTTTTAATATATTGTTTTTCTACATGAATTGGGCTTAATTTAGTAACCTCCTGGATTGGAGATTTTATTTTGCCTTCTTCAAATTTAAGATCCTTCTCTGCAGGGACTGAAATGATTTCCTCTACAATTTTAGTTTTAACATCTTCTTGTCCAGCTACTATTTCACCTGGACTCAATTCTTTAGGTTGATCCATCGGCGATTTTAGTTTGTGATCATGTATTTTTTCTTTATCTTCAGGAATTAGTGGAGACAAAGCTTTTTCTTCAGTAGGAGCACTAATATCTTGTTTTCCTACATGAATTGGGCTTAACTTAGTAACCTCTTGGATTGGAGATTTTATTTGATGATCTTGAAATTTAAGATCCTTTTCTGCAGGGACTGAAATGACTTCCTTTACCATTTTACTTTTAACATCCTCTTGTCCAGCTACTATTTCAACTGGACTCAATTCTTTAAGTTGATCCACCGGCGATTTTGGTTTGTGATCATGTATTTTTGCTATACCCTCAGGAATGGCTGGAGACAAAACTTTTTCTTCAGTAGGAGCTTTAATATCTTGTTTTTCTACATGAATTGGGCTTAATTTAGTAACGTCCTGGATTGGCGATTTTATTTTGTGTTCTTCAAATTTAAGATCCTTTTCTGCAGGGACTGAAATGATTTCCTCTACAATTTTACTTTTAACATCTTCTTGTCCAGCTATCATTTCAACTGGACTCAATTCTTTAGGTTGATCCACCGGCGATTTTGGTTTGTGATCATGTATTTTTGCTATACCCTCAGGAATGACTGGAGACAAAACTTTTTCTTCAGTAGGAGCTTTAATATCTTGATTTTCTACATCAATTGGGCTTAATTTAGTAACGTCCTGGATTGGCAATTTTATTTTGTGTTCTTCAAATTTATGGTCCTTTTCTGCAGGGACTGAAATGATTTCCTCTACAATTTTTCTTTTAACATCTTCTTGTCCATCTATCATTTCAACTGGACTCAATTCTTTAGGTTGATCCACCGGCGATTTTGGTTTGTGATCATGTATTTTTGCTATACCCTCAGGAATGACTGGAGACAAAACTTTTTCTTCAGTAGGAGCTTTAATATCTTGTTTTTCTACATGAATTGGGCTTAATTTAGTAACCTCCTGGATTGGAGATTTTATTTTGTGTTCTTCAAAATTAAGGTCCTTTTCTGCAGGGACTGAAATGATTTCCTCTACAATTTTACTTTTAACATCTTCTTGTCCATCTATCATTTCAACTGGACTCAATTCTTTAGGTTGATCCAGCGGCGATTTTGGTTTGTGATCATGTATTTTTGCTATACCCTCAGGAATGACTGGAGACAAAACTTTTTCTTCAGCAGGAGCTTTAATATCTTGTTTTTCTACATGAATTGGGCTTAATTTAGTAACGTCCTGGATTGGCGATTTTATTTTGTGTTCTTCAAATTTAAGATCCTTTTCTGCAGGGACTGAAATGATTTCCTCTACAATTTTACTTTTAACATCTTCTTGTCCAGCTACTATTTCAACTGGACTCAATTCTTTAAGTTGATCCACCGGCGATTTTGGTTTGTGATCATGTATTTTTGCTATAGCCTCAGGAATGAGTGGAGACAAAACTTTTTCTTCAGTAGGAGCTTTAATATCTTGTTTTTCTACATGAATTGGGCTTAATTTAGTAACGTCCTGGATTGGCGATTTTATTTTGTGTTCTTCAAATTTAAGATCCTTTTCTGCAGGGACTGAAATGATTTCCTTTACAATTTTACTTTTAACATCTTCTTGTCCAGCTATCATTTCAACTGGACTCAATTCTTTAGGTTGATCCACCGGCGATTTTGGTTTGTGATCATGTATTTTTGCTATACCCTCAGGAATGACTGGAGACAAAACTTTTTCTTCAGTAGGAGCTTTAATATCTTGTTTTTCTACATGAATTGGGCTTAATTTAGTAACCTCCTGGATTGGAGATTTTATTTTGTGTTCTTCAAATTTAAGATCCATTTCTGCAGTGACAGAAATGATTTCCTCTACAATTTTAGTTTTAACATCTTCTTGTCCAGCTGCTATTTCAACTGGACTCAATTCTTTAGGTTGATCCACCGGCGATTTTGGTTTGTGATCATGTATTTTTGCTATACCCTCAGGAATGACTGGAGACAAAACTTTTTCTTCAGTAGGAGCACTAACATCTTGTTTTTCTACATGAATTGGGCTTAACTTAGTAACCTCTTGGATTGGAGATTTTATTTTGTGTTCTTCAAATTTAAGATCCATTTCTGCAGTGACAGAAATGATTTTCTCTACAATTTTACTTTTAACATCTTCTTGTCCAGCTATCATTTCAACTGGACTCAATTCTTTAGGTTGATCTACAGGCGATTTTAGTTTGTGATAGTGTATTTTTTCTTTATCTTCAGGAATTAGCGGAGATAAAACTTTTTCTTCAGTAATAGTTTTAATATCTTGTCTTTCTACATGAATTGGGCTTAATTTAGTACCCTCCTGGTTTGGAAATTTTATTTTGTCTTCTTCAAATTTAAGATCCTTCTCTGCAGGGACTGAAATGATTTCCTCTACAATTTTAGATTTAACATCTTCCTGTCCAGCTACTATTTCAACTGGACTCAATTCTTTAGGTTGATCCACAGGCGATTTTAGTTTGTGATCGTGTATTTTTTCTTTATCTTCAGGAATTAGTGGAGACAAAACCTTTTCTTCAGTTGGAGCACTAATATCTTGTTTTTCTAGATGAATTGGGCTTAACTTAGTAACCTCTTGGATTGGACATTTTATTTTATGATCTTCAAATTTAAGATCCTTTTCTGCAAGGACTGAAATGACTTCCTTTACCATTTTACTTTTAACATCCTCTTGTGCAGCTACTATTTCAACTGGACTCAATTTTTTAAGTTGATCCACCGGCGATTTTGGTTTGTGATCATGTATTTTTGCTATACCCTCAGGAATGACTGGAGACAAAACTTTTTCTTCAGTAGGAGCTTTAATATCTTGTTTTTCTACATGAATTGGGCTTAATTTAGTAACGTCCTGGATTGGCGATTTTATTTTGTGTTCTTCAAATTTAAGATCCTTTTCTGCAGGGACTGAAATGATTTCCTCTACAATTTTAGTTTTAACATCTTCTTGTCCAGCTACTATTTCAACTGGACTCAATTCTTTAGGATGATCTACCGGCGATTTTAGTTTATGATCGTGTATTTTTTCTTTATCTTCAGGAATTAGTGGAGATAAAACTTTTTCTTCAGTAATAGTTTTAATATCTTGTTTTTCTACATGAATTGGGCTTAATTTAGTAACCTCCTGGATTGGAGATTTTATTTTGTGTTCTTCAAATTTAAGATCCTTCTCTGCAGGGACTGAAATGATTTCCTCTACAATTTTAGTTTTAACATCTTCTTGTCCAGCTACTATTTCACCTGGACTCAATTCTTTAGGTTGATCCATCGGCGATTTTAGTTTGTGATCATGTATTTTTTCTTTATCTTCAGGAATTAGTGGAGACAAAGCTTTTTCTTCAGTAGGAGCACTAATATCTTGTTTTCCTACATAAATTGGCCTTAAGTTAGTAACCTCTTGGATTGGAGATTTTATATTATGATCTTCAAATTTAAGATCCTTTTCTGCAGGGACTGAAATGACTTCCTTTAACATTTTACTTTTAACATCTTCTTGTCCAGCTACCTTTTCAACTGCACTCAATTCTTTAGGTTGATCCATTTGCGATTTTGGTTTGTGATCATGTATTTTTTTTTTATCTTCAGGAATTACTGGAGACAAAACTTTTTCTTCAGTAGGAGCTTTAATATCTTGTTTTTCTACATGAATTGGGCTTAATTTAGTAACCTCCTGGATTGGAGATTTTATTTTATGCTCTTCAAATTTAAGATCCTTTTCTGCAGGGACTGAAATGATTTCCTTTACAATTTTGCTTTTAACATCTTCTTGTCCAGCTACTATTTCAACTGGACTCAATTCTTTCGGTTGATCCACCTGCGATTTTGGTTTGTGATCATGTATTTTTTCTTTATCTTCCGGAATTACTGGAGACAAAACTTTTTCTTCAGTAGGAGCTTTAATATCTTCTTTTTCTACATGAATTGGGCTTAATTTAGTAACCTCCTGGATTGGAGATTTCATTTTGTGCTCTTCAAATTTAAGATCCTTTTCTGCAGGGACTGAAATGATTTCCTTTACAATTTTGCTTTTAACATCTTCTTGTCCAGCTACCTTTTCAACTGCACTCAATTCTTTAGGTTGATCCATTTGCGATTTTGGTTTGTGATCATGTATTTTTTCTTTATCTTCCGGAATTACTGGAGACAAAATTTTTTCTTCAGTAGGAGCTTTAATATCTTGTTTTTCTACATGAATTGGGCTTAATTTAGTAACCTCCTGGATTGGAGATTTTACTTTGTGTTCTTCAAATTTAAGATCCTTTTCTGCAGGGACTGAAATGTTTTCCTCTACAATTTTAATTTTAACATCTTCTTGTCCAGCTACTATTTCAACTGGAGTCAATTCTTTATTTTGATCCACCGGCGATTTTGGTTTGTGATCATGTATTTTTTCTTTATCTTCAGGAATTAATGGAGATAAAACATTTTCTTCAGTAGGAGCTTTAATATCTTGTTTTTCTACATGAATTGGGCTTAATTTAGTAACTTCCTGGTTTAGAGATTTTATTTTGTGCTCTTCAAATTTAAGATCCTTTTCTGCAGGGACTGCAATGATTTCCTTTACAATTTTGCTTTTAACATCTTCTTGTCCAGCTACTATTTCAACGGGACTCAATTCTTTAGGTTGATCCACCTGCGATTTTTGTTTGTGATCATGTACTTTTTCTTTATCTTCCGGAATTACTGGAGACACAACTTTTTCTTCAGTAGGAGCTTTAATATCTTGTTTTTCTACATGAATGGGGCTTAATTTAGTAACTTCCTGGATTGGAGATTTTATTTTGTGTTCTTCAAACTTAAGATCCTTTTCTGCAGGGACTGAAATGATTTCCTCAACATTATGGCTTTTAACATCTTCCTGTCCAGCTATTATTTCTACTGTACTCAATTCTTTAGGTTGATCCACCGGCGATTTTGGTTTGTGATCAAGTATTTTTTCTTTATCTTCAGGAATTAGTTGAGACAAAGCTTTTACTTCAGAAGGAGCACTAATATCTTGTTTTTCTACATGAATTGGGCTTAACTTAATAACCTCCGGGATTGATGATTTTATTTTGTGTTCTTCAAATTTAAGATCCTTTTCTGCAGGGACTGAAATGATTTCCTCTACAATGTTACTTTTAATGTATTCTTGTCCAGCTACTATATCAACTGGACTCAATTCTTTAGGTTGATCCACCGGCGATTTTGGTTTGTGATAGTGTATTTTTGCTATACCTTGAGGAATTACTGCAGACAAAACTTTTTCTTCAATAGGAGCTTTAATATCTTGTTTTTCTACATGAATTGGGCTTAACTTAGCAACCTCCTGGATTGGCGATTTTATTTTGTGTTCCTCAAATTTAAGATCCTTGTCTGCAGGGACTGAAATTATTTCCTTTACAATTTTACTTTTAACAGCTTCCTGTCCAGCTATTATTTCAAATGGACTCAATTCTTTAGGTTGATCCACCGGCGATTTTGGTTTGTGATCATGTATTTTTTCTTTGTCTTCAGGAATTAGTGGAGATAAAGCTTTTTCTTCAGTAGGAGCGCTAATATCTTGTTTTTCTACATGAATTGGGCTTAATTTAGTAACCTCCTGGATTGGAGATTTTATTTTGTGTTCTTCAAATTTAAGATCCTTTTCTGGAGGGACTGAAATTGTTTCCTCTACAATTTTAATTTTAACATCTTCTTGTCCAGCTACTATTTCAACTGGACTCAATTCTTTAGGTTGATCCACCCTCGATTTTGCTTTGTGTTCATGTATTTTTTCTTTATCTTCAGGAATTAGTGGAGATATAGCCTTTTGTTCAGTAGGAGTACTAATATCGGTTTTTCTTAATTTAGTAACCTCCTGTATTGGCGATTCTATTTTGTATTCGTCAAATTTAAGAACCTTTTCTGCAGGGACTGAAATGATTTCCTCTACAATTTTACTTTTAACGCCTTCTTGTCCATCTACTATTTCAACTGGACTCAATCCTTTAGGTTGATCCACCTCCGATTTTGGTTTGCGATCATGTATTTTTTCTTTATCTTCAGGAATTAGTGGAGATAAAGCTTTTTCTTCAGTAGGAGCACTAATATCTTGTTTTTCTACATGAATTGGGCTTAATTTAGTAATCTCCTGGATTGGAGATTTTATTTTGTGTTCTTCAAATTTAAGATCCTTTTCTGCAGGGACTGAAATAATTTCCTCTACAATATGGCTTTTAACATCTTCCTGTTCAGCTATTATTTCTACTGGACTCAATTCTTTAGGTTGATCCACCGGCGATTTTGGTTTGTGATCAAGTATTTTTTCTTTATCTTCAGGAATTAGTGGAGACAAAGCTTTTACTTCAGAAGGAGCACTAGTATCTTGTTTTTCTACATGAATTGGGCTTAACTTAATAACCTCCGGGATTGCCGATTTTATTTTGTGTTCTTCAAATTTAAGATCCTTTTCTGCAGGGACTGAAATGATTTCCTCTACAATTTTACTTTTAATGTCTTCTTGTCCAGCTACTTTTTCAAATGCACTCAATTCTTTATGTTCATCCATCGGCGATGTTATTCTGTGATTATACATTTTTTCTTTATTTTCTGCAATTAGTGGCGATGTAACTTTTTCTTGGGTCAGAGTTTTAATATCTTGTTTTTCTACATTAATTAGGCTTAATTTAGCAACCTCCTGGATTGGTGATTTTATTTTGTGTTCTTCAAATTTAAGATCCTTTTCTGAAGGGACTGAAATGATTTCCTCTACAATTTTACTTTTAACATATTCTTGTCCATCTGCTTTTTCAACTGGAACCAATTCTTTAGGTTCATCCACAGGCGATTTTAGTTTGTGATCGTGTATTTTTTCTTTGTCTTCTGGAATAAGTGGAGTTATAACTTTTTCATCAGTAAGAGCTTTAATATCTTGTTTTTCTACATGAATTGCCCTTAATTTAGTACTTTTAACATCTTCTTGTCCAGCTGCTTTTTCAACTGGACTAAATTCTTTAGGTTCATCCACCGGTGATTTTAGTTTGTCATCGTACATTTTTTCTTTATCTTCTGGAATTAGTGGAGATATCACTTTTTCTTCAGTTAGAGCTTTAATATCTTGTTTTTCTACATGAATTGCGCTTAATTGGGTAACCTCCTCGATTGGCGATTTTATTTTGTGTTCTTCAAATTTAAGATCCCTTTCTGCAGGGACTGAAATGATTTCCTCTACAATTTTACTTTTAACATCTTGTCCAGCTACTTTTTCAACTGGACTTAATTTTTTAGGTTCACCCACAGGCGATTTTAGTTTGTGTTCGTGGATTTTTTCTTTATCCAGGGGAATTATTGGAGACATTACTACTTTTCCATCAGAAAGAGATTTAATTTTTTGTTTTTCTACTTCCATTGGTCTTAATTTAGTAACCTCCTGGATGGGCGATTTTATTTTGTGTTCGTCAAATACAAGATCCTTTTTTGTAGAGACTGAAATGATTTCCTCTACAATTTTACTTTTAACATCTTTTTGTCCAGCTACTTTATCAACCGGACCCATTTCTTTAGGTTCATCAACAGTAGATTTTATTTGGTGTTCGAGTCTTTCTTTGTCTAGAGGAATTAGTGGGTTAGTTGTAATTTCTTCAGCAGCAAGTGCTTTAATTTGGTAGTTCTCCACCTGTATTTTGCTTAATTTAGTATCTTCCTGGGTTGGGAATTTTATTTCGTAGCTATCTAATTTGACGTCCTTTTCAACAGGGCTTAATTTTGAGGCAGGAATAATTTCATTTCCAATATCATCTTTTTCTCTTACTTTCTCAACCGGACACAAATCTTTAGGTTTATGCACAAGTGATTTCATTTTGTGATCTTCTAATTTTTCTTTACCTAGGGGTATTATTAGAGAAACAGATTTTTTTTCTTCAGCAGGATATTTAATTTCTCGTTTTTCTGCCTCTATGGGGTTTAATTTAGTTATTTCCTGTGCTGCGGATATTCTTTTGGAATTAGAAAATTTAATGTCCGTTTGGACAAAGCTTAACTTTGTTACAGGTATTATTTTATTTTCAATTTTTTCTCCAATATAATCTTTTTGAATTTCTATCTCAACTGGACTCAAATGTTTAGACTTATCCACCGAAGACTTTATTATGTGATCGGTTATTATAGGTTTATTTGTTGGAATTTGGGGAGAAATTATACCTTTTTCTTCAGCAAGAGATTTAATTTCTTGCTTTCCTATCAAAGTTTCTTTTAATTTTGTAATCGGTGCAGAATAATCGTCTTGTTTTTGTTTTACTTCTTCATCAACTTTGACTTGGCCCATTGTTGAAAAACTCTGCTGACTTCGCTCGTCTTCTTCAAAGTCGAATCTATCTTTATCACTTTCGCTTCTATTTTCGTCAATTTCCTGCTGCTTATCACTAATTTTTTTAGCCATTGCAATGCGTCCGTCTGCGTCAATCTTACTCGATATTTTTTTACTTTCTTCGTTTTTCCGTGCCGTTTTCGAGACGGATTCCCTTAAATTCATCATTTCCTTGTTGTATTTTGCTAAACTGGCTTGGTCGAAGCCTTTCAACTCCTCGTCAATTTTCTCCAAATCCTTTGCTTTTTCGCCTGACGTAGGCGTGACGACCTGCAGCAATTGGCCCTCCGGAGTTGGCGTCAGGTCCGGCTTCAATTCCTTTACTCCCTGCTTAATTTGCTTTGACGCTTCCAACACTTCTGACATAATTTTCTGCACCTCGGACTCTGTTATAGGAATTTTCATTTCCGCGTTGCCGATATTAAGCATTTGAGGAGGAGTTTTACGCGGAGATAATTTTGGTGTTACTCTCTTCGTACCATCGATTAGTTTAGATACTTGGTCGCTTGTTACCACCTCTGCTGGTAGAGCTATCGTCGAAACCAGTGTCGCATGGGCCACTATAGCTTCTTTTATTATCTCTACCGGTTCGTCGATATCCGCTTGTTGTTCAGGCACGTTTTTAGGCTCGTCTGCTTCCGACTGAGTCGGTATTTTGTGTTCCACGTGGACTTTTATACATACGGGTTCATTGCAAGGCACTTTCGGCTCGTCGGGGTTGAAATCGATATTGCACGGTTTATCGGCTTTATCAGGCTTGGGAGGTTTGTCTTCCTCGACGACAATCTGGTCCTCGATAGACTCCAGACAACTTTTCAGTTCCTCATCCGTGTATTCTTTGGCGACCGTCGGTTGTTTGTCTCTCTTGGACTTCTTGGTGGGCGTTCCCTCTTGAGACCTCGAAATTAACTCCTCAAACATGTTCCGTTTGTCTTTAACGCTTCGAAGCTTTTCGATTATGTCGACATCTTCGTCTGGAGAATGTATATCCGTCTTGGTGACGGGTTTCGATTCTGCATCGTCCGTCTTCTTCGGAACGGTTTTAGGAGAATCGGGCTCGTGACATTCGACGGAGAAAATTTTCTGAAGCTCCGCTATTTTTCTCCCGACATGTTTCGGCGGCGTTGCGATCGCCACGGCCTTCTGTTCCGAGAAACTTTCCAGGGATGTATCGTGCACCCTTTCTTGAACTATCTGTTCGGTGATCGACTCTAGCCTGTACTCGTCGTCGTCGATCTGGGCCAACGTCTCAGTCGATCCGTGCATCACTTCCTCCTCTTTCATGCTCGATATCTCGTCTTCCGAATCCAACGCATCCCGCTTTCTCCGTTTAAATTCCTTGTAGCCCCCTTTGCTCGCCTGCTCTTCGAGCAGTTTGATTTTTGCCTTCACATCGCCGGATCCGCGCCTCTTGGAAAGGATTTCCTCGTCTTTCAACATTTCGGTCGCGGATAACGGCGGACTATCGTCCAACTTTATGGGACTACTGCTTGCGTCTTTGGTATCCACCTGATCGGTGAGAGTGCCGGCGTCTGACGTCGTCTCATGGAATTCGATCGGGCTGGTGCCGGTTTCCGTATAATGGGTGACCTCGTCCAGGTCCTGGATAGTCAGCTCGTCGGCTTGTATCGGGCTGAGACCCGCGTCCGTGCACTCTCCTTCTTCCGTTTCCGAGATAAATCCGGTGGTGAGGATACCGCCGATGGTACCGGGTCGTTGCCTCTCGATACTCGTCAACGTTTCGGTGGTGGTGCCTCGGGTTATCGAGATACCCGTATCCGTCACGTGGTGCGACACGCTGTCTTCGCTCGCGGACGAAACCTCCTGCAAATCTTTGGAGGTGTCGTACGTGAAAATCTGATTTGTGCCGCAAAAGTTCACCGTCTCTTCCCGTTTCTTCGACGCCGGGTCGTCGAACGACACGAACTTATCGGTACCGGCGGTGGTCGTCATCCCGACGTCAAATTTTTCGGACGTTTCGGTTCCCGTGTGTTTGTCTCTTTTCGTCGTAGTGACTGAGATGTGCGATTGGGATTTGATCGAAATCTCCACGTCCTTGGTACCGTACAATGTAAGACGGCTTTCAGCCGAGGCCGAAGCGTCCTTCGTCCGCACCTCTTTACGCCCTATTATGAGTTCCAGGGTAGGCTTGGAGCTCGGAAGCAATTCGTGTCCCTTAAAATCGCCGAGAGGCGACGTGCCTTTGTGCGCCCGATTTAAATTATTTCTTGATTCATCGTCCGTGTTCGTCGACTTCGCCGTCAACTCCTTATTGTCCTGCTGGATTCTGTTCGACCCGGTCCCTTCTTTGAAGGTGACCGTCACATTATCCGGCGTGGTTTTCAAATAGACCGCGTCCTCGTCGGCGGGCGCGACTTTGTCCTTGCCCGCGCCGCCGTGCAGCCTCTCCACAGTCTTTCTCTCTTTCCTCTCCCAGTCTTCCGGTCTCTTCGAGTCCTTCGCGCCTTTCTCTTCGGGCGACGTAAATTCTTTGTTAAAACTATCTAATTCTACGCTTATCTTTTTATCTACGCTACACTTGGAAGGCAACAAATTTGAGGTAGTATCAAAACTATCTATCACATCGGTCGCGTCGAGGTCTTCGCTGGAAGCGAGACGTTTCCTCTGTCCGACAAAGAGTTCCGCGTGGTGCCGGTAATAACGAGACGCGTCCTCGTACGCGGTGACCTCTTGAGAGTCGAGAGGTTTCGCGTTGCCCTCGGGCGTGGGGGTTTCTATAAGGTAACGGTCTTCGCGGAAACCGTCGGTATCTAGGGAGTCGTCGTCATCTTGCGGGGACGCGCTAGCGGCTGCCGTGAGGAAAAAACCAGTAAGGGCCGGAAGGGAATGTCGCGCTCTTGCACCGGGTTGTTCGCGCTATGCGGAACGTTGCGCTTCAAATACGAAGTTTTCGAAAAGTATTTCTATCGGGCGTCTATTTCAAATTGGTCTCGTATCCAAAGCGCAAGGAGTTTCAATAACGTTTATCAAATAATTTACTTCAGAAGTATTTAAGTTGCGGCTTTAGTTTATAATTTACGGGGAAACATATTTTCTAAAATACTGGAAATGGTACATCCACACTGAAACCTGTCGAACTGAGGAACTATCAGCGGCCATGTTGGTTGTTGAAGGCCGCTAGATCTTGTTGGTTTAAAATGAGATTTATAACGATATTTTGTCATCATCGCTTCAAAAATGGATGTATTATCATATCATATATTATCAGCAAAGGTAGGCTTCTATGCTGCGTGTATGATCTGTTCATAGAGATAAGAAAGTGACCAATTTCTTTTGAACGGATTATCCAAGAGTGGTCATTAACTTACAATGCAACAAGGTTATTATTATTAATTAAGGTAATAATCTTGTTGCATAGTATGTTAATGACCACCCTTGGATAATCCGTTCAAAAGCAATTGGTCACTTTCTTATATCTATGAACAGACCATACCTATATGGGATGTCCTATAATAAACTGTTTGTACTTTCTCAAAATTATGGTCTTGTAATAAATTCTATTGTAAAGAGGTATAAGTTGTCGCTGCATGTTTAAAACCAAAGAGGCTACATCAACCAAATATCTAATAAAAACTAAATAAAGATAACATAAAACTGAAGGAAAAACGATGATGACATTCTCCAATTATAGCAATATGCACTCTTCTTTTGGTTAAATCTGACGTTCTATTAGATGGGAATGAAAATTTGCACGTTTTATATACGATGAGTTGGGATATAAGATCTAAATAAATACTTCTATAGCGTTGGAGATATTCAAACTATAATTACGTATTTAAAAATCATTAAGTTTTATTCTGATAGTAGAATCCAAAAATGCTATAATATAAGGTGGATTCCATTAAAAAAAATCTATATAATATGAAAGTAGTTAATAATAGACCCCAGCACATCTAAAAAATAAAACTTTTCGAAGAACTTGTATTTTGGTCGCAATATTTCTTGCCGTACGGTGCGAACGACTCGGTATAATAAGGTGTGTTTCGTTTGAACGTGTGTGCAGCAAATCGGGGGCGGGCTTACGAACACTGTTCTCCCAGAAAATAAATCATTGCGGCGGCATCCTTTCGCACAAAAATGATATGAGGACAGCGATCTTTGGACGGGGCAGGCGGGGGGCGAAGGTGAAGGAATACGACAGCTATTTATAGTATAGGTATACGTTTTAAGCTAATGTCATTCCGCAGTCAACGTAAGCACCTACAGTCGTGAATAAATAATCCGTTAAGCAAATTCGCAAGGTAACAATAATATAGTATCTTGAAAATAATATGCTCAAACTAGCGCCTCGACTAACCTAAGGATGGGGGGGCGGAGTCGACAGTTACGCGGCGCCTACGAGCGGCGTGAGTGTCGACCTTGTCCCTCCCCCGTCTATAGTACGCTACTGACCTTCGTGTAGCCTTTGCTACGAGATGTCCGACGGCTAGGATGACTCGAAACCGCGCGAATTGCTCAGCTGCGCGTGCGCGTCGATGAGACGGCCGGCAAGTGAGAAATCCACGCAGGTCCATGCACACAATCACAATATACGACGGCAAAAATCCGAAACAGCGGTTTGGATTAGTTTTTCCGGTAAAGTAGAAAAGTTCCTGGAGTTTGCAAAAACGATTTGTCAAGCGAGATTCGGTTGCGAATGCGCGGAGTGAAATTGCTAGTGCTTATACGAAATAGTCGGGTGTAGTTGGAAAACGTTGTGCAAGTTTGAATTGGAATTAACGAACGACTGCGCCGCCGTACGGTGGGGTCGATTGCCATTTTTGTGACCAAAACCCTATAATTAGCAAATTTTTTTTCAAAAGTTTTAATGTTCAAAACAGATTTTTTTTTTAGCGTCGGTCAATAACTTCTGATGATATCTGTAGGTGGCCCAAAATACATTTGGCAATTTTTTTTTGCACTTTTCGTCACAATTCACTATTTGACCATATTCTGATGTAGAGTGTGTCCCGTTTTCAGTGTTATTGCGGGGTATCTCAGTTATTATTACACAACATGCGGTTTTCGCAACACAACCAGCTGGCTTTGAAATTTGAAAATTTAAGTTACCTTTTAGTACACCCTGTATCGTATGTGAGATTATGAAAACGTAATTTTATAGGTAGATACCTTTATGCAGAATCCACTGGCTTAAAAGATAACATTTTTAAGACAATAGTTAAAGTTTGTTCTTTTATTTTCAAAGGGAACACCCGCTAGATGCATTTTTTATTCGAATACGCTTTTTATAGCTTTTTCTATTTACAAATCTTCTGGATTCCTTCTGGGTCGGATGTTGTTGAATCGAATTTGCTGACGTTTCGCCAATCGTCCTGGTGGCTTCTTCAGTTTTAGTTAAGGTCTGAAGGAAAGGACGATCGGCCAACATATTATTATTATTTTGTTACAAAAAGTACTAAGTGAATACAGGAAATAGTAAACTTAAAAAAAACTGCTCAAACTGATTTCAACAAGCAGCCCGACATTTTTCGAATTCTTCTTCAGGCATTTAAAATTTAAAATCCGGAATTCAGTGGTGTACTCAACTTTTATAAAGTGTAAGTTTTAATAAACAAACCAAATGAAATGAAACGCCATGCATGATTTTTAAAATATCAATTGATCTTTTCATACCCTCTCTAAAAATCTAGAATAATTAGGGAGTATTTTAAAAAATAGGTGTACATATTTACATTTGTTGATTCATTATTATTTATTGATTAATGTATATTGATTTATTTATTTATTAATTAATGATAATTTATTTTTGATTAATGTGTATTAAGCATTAATTTTTTTTAAAACAATGTAACCATCGAAAAATATTTACTATCTATTGTGTAATTATTAATTTTTAATATAACAAGCTCAATTAAATTTTTAAAAAATGTATAGTGCCTTTCGTTAAAAAACATAACATATTTCAAAAATTTCATCTTTTATAAAAAAAAAATCTGAGTATGCCACTGGATTCGATCTAAAAAGATCGGTTTTATAAGCTCATTACGATGATTAAAATACAAAGGATAACTGAAGTGGACAAATTTTGTGTTTCTTCCTATGTGGAGTAGAGTATTGCAAAAACCGCATAGCTCTAGCGTAAGTAAAAAATTATTAATTAAAGAAGAAACAGATACTTTATTAGTAGTAGTTTTTGGACAGGATGGACTTAAAAACTTTGCTGTAAAGTGAGTTTGTTGTGTATTTGTGGTTTGTTTGTCGCCCCACCTGAATAACATCAAATTAAGGCAGCAGACATTTTGTCTGCCTTCCAGACATTTTTCTACGATTTATGGTTTTTGAGAACTCAGTCATCATAGATGAGTTAGAAATTGATTGTAAATAGCAAAAATTCTTGGAATTTGACAATTTTTGATTAATTTATATATATTAATTTAGGTTTTGGGAAACGAATTTTTAATTGATCCCACTGTGCTCTGCACCGCTCCAAATTATTTGAAACTTCACAACAACCTTAAATGTCAAGTGCGACAAAATACTCCGAAATTTTAAACGGGGGAGCGAGATGGAAAAGGGTACAATATTGCAACGGCGCCTCGGCAGAGATACTTTCTGCTTGGCTCAGTACATCGCAACGAGAAAATCTTGAACACGTATGACGACGTATGATTTTTCTCCTTTTTCATTGAATACATCGGTCTAGGCATATGTTGTTACCCTGAAGGTTTAACATAAGCTGTGATAAAAATTTTCACTACCTGTGTATCCAGTAATCGACAAAAGCGATAATTTATATACCAGATTTTCAGGAGGATCATATCAGCATATATTTTCATCACTGCAAGATTTATATCTTCAGTATAAAAACAGATAAAGAACGATGTGGATAATAAATTTGGTATCTTTGCACAGGATTGTTGACTAGATATTCAGAACCCCTGTAACTTTTTTATTTTTTAAGCTAGAGAACCGATTTTGTGAATCAAAATTTCTTGTGACATTATTTTTTGATTATTAGAAAAATCGCCATATTCTGCGCTGTAATTTAATTTTGTTGGTCAATTTTTGATCAATTCCGATGTTCTCCTGTCAAAACTAAAATTTAACATTTAATAGTGTTTTTGGGAATGATGTCTTGTTGTATCTGGAAAAGTTTTTAGTTGCACATTTTTTAATATACAGGGAGTGTCGTCAATAATTTGAATTTGCTTCCTTGAATTTGTTTCGTCAAACAGGGACAATGTTACGACATCTGCCCGATAGGGCTTACTATTTAAACATCAATCATAGCGACTTCCACCAGCGCCGCATACCAATAAAAGGAAATTTTATGTTTTACATAAAAAATGAAACATACGCCCTCTAGAAGATTAAAATTTGGCATATGGAAAACACCTAAATGGTAATTTTTATATCAATAGAGCTTGCCTCAAATAACATTCGTTTAGGTATTTATATTGCCAATAAACCTATAAACACAGTAACTCTTATGAATTGCTAATGATTGAAGATATTTAGTATGTTACAAAGTGTTAAAAAGTGTAAACAAAAGTTTTAAAGTTTTAGATGTACCAAGAAAAATTTGCGGTCTGAAAACGTTCCACAAATTGGAGCTTAAGCATATAAACATCCTGGGTGCTCTATCTACGTAATATTTGTTTCTGGTTTATTGGCGTGTAATCCGACGAAAAAAAACACAATGTAGGTATCGGAAATTTATCAAATAATTTGGAGCCTCTTCACAAAAGACAACCACTTCGCTCACGTCACACACACACACATACCCACACGAAATCTAACCAAAGTGTAGAATAGGCAAACGAGGTGTCAAATTTCGAAACGCATGCGCAGGCAGTGTCCTTGGTGAACGATCGGACGGAAAACCAAAATGGTTCGAAATTCGCGCGAGATCATCGTCTATGACACCAGACGACACTGCCTTGTGGTTAACGTGAAGTTTTGCGAAGTCGGTAAACGTAAACGAAACGAGGCGAATTCGCCGTGTGCAAGAGATAACGAAAACAAAAATGGCCGATTATACAGGAAGCGTTAAACGAAAAATAACTAGCAAAGCGATTACGCGCACTTTCCTTTCGCATTACATGATTTATTTTCTGTTAGTTAGTTAGTGTTTTTTTTTTCTATTTTACAACTCGTCGGACTGGGTTAGTTGGCGAAAGCTTTGCGTCGAAGCAAATGTTGCACATTTAGTGTGTAAGGTTTGTTCGGTTTTAGTGTCGCAGGTTATAATATAATCGAACACACGTTATATATTGACGGAACGTTAAAAAAATGTCAAAATACAGTAAGACTAAACAAAAAAAAAACCGTTCGGACTATACAAAAATTTTATACCGCTCTGCAAACTCCGAGGAATGTGGCATATCAATTTTAGTTCCGGGATACATGGTTCGCTCTGTTAGTTACATAGGTAAACAAACAATTTAAGTGGTACTTACCCCCTCGAGTGTCTGAAATACCGCAAAAATAAAAATGCGACGTAAAAAACGAACGCTCGCGCGACCCACCGAACCCGATCGAGGAAACGCGAGGACTGGCCCTTTAAAAATTCATAATTTTGTAATAGTATCCGTAATAGCCTTAAGAGGCCATACGATGTTCCGCGTTTTTCAGTCTTGATCCATTCGTGCCTAATAATTTAATAAAGAACAATCGATGCCCATGTGTCGCAACTTTCATAATTTCTTCGCATTTGGCCGTAGAAAAAAAAACTTTTTTCCATATATTAAAATCGTAGCACGCAAATTCCGGATTATACGGAGATGATACCTTTATTGCACCATTAAAAAGGCACCTTTTAAACTGAAAAAAACAACGAAAATATTTGCGGAACAATCAACAACTTTCGTGGAAATACAAATTTCAAACGCTTTGCCATACCCATGAGAATCCTAACATAACTGTGGCGTACCATTTATGCTTTGCCTGAACCACAACTCGGCCATCCCAAAATTGTCTTTTTGTCTTTCTCCGTAGCCATTAGACATAAACTCTTTCATCTTTCATCGCAAACTAAGGGCAGTGAAAGTAAACAAGACGACAAGGTGTCCAATACTCTCTGCTGAGAAAATAAGGATAGCACTGAGCTCTGTCGAAATGCCTAGACAAAAAGATGATGTACAAGAAATGTGGAATGATACTAGAGCTTGGATAAATGAAATAGTCAAAAAAAGCTGTACACCTGGAAAGACGGAGATAAAATCCAAACCTTGGTTATCTGATAATACTGCCAGTTTGCTGGAATCACGAAACACCAGCAACAATATCTGATAAAGACTTAAAATTGAAAACCATCAATAAAGAAATAAAAATCAGGGATAAAAACGCACACATTCATAAAATCTCCATGGAAATAAAAAAGCGCTCCGCAACCAACGAATCTAGGGAACTGTTCAATAAAGTAAAATACCTCTCTAGTGAGTTTAAACTTCGCCCACAAATTATACAGGACGAAAATGGTAGAATATTACAACAGTAATGGACCCTTAAACACCGTAAACCATTCTACATTTACTGAACACGAACCCGGGATTCTTAAATCGGAGGTTGAACGCGCCTTAAAGAGCCTCAAAAACAATAAAAGTCCAGGCATAGATGGCTTAGCTGCAGAGATACTAAAGTCAATAGGACAGCCAGTTGATGTTTTACATTTTATACGTAATCGAGTTTGGAAGACAGGAGATTGGCCAGGCGAATGGTGCGGCTCACTTTATATGCCACTGTATAAAAAGGATAACCCAGCAGACTGCAATAACTACCGCATGATTGCATTAATACCCCATGCGTGCAAAATTCTCCTACAGATCATTAATAACAGACTTAGACCATATCTACTACCCCAGATTGCAGAAGAACAAACCGGCTTTATGCCGGGTAAGGGTACGAGAGAACAAATAGGAAACGCACGACAACTAATTGAGAAAGCTAGAGAATTTAACATAACAATGTACCTCTGTTTTGTCGACTACTCCAAGGCCTTCTACTTGGTAAAATGGAAAAAACTGTGGCAAATACTCAAAGAAATGGGGGTCCCTGACCACTTAATAATACTTATCCGACAGCTCTATGAACATAATTACGGTCTGATAAGAATCAACGATGTCACATCAAACAGGTTTCAAGCGATGAAGGGTGTCAGACAAGGATGTGTTCTGTCGCCCTTACTGTTCAACATATACACCGAATACAAATGCGGGACATTCTGGATAACTGGCAGGGTGGCATATCTGTAGGGGGAAGAAAAATCGAGAATCTGAGATATGCCGACGACACACTAATTATAACATCTAGTGTAGAAGAAATGGAATTTATTATGCACCGTCCCCAGGAAACCAGTGCAGAATTTGGATTGAAATTAAATCCAAACAAAACTAATGTCCACTTATGGAGCTGAAACCTGGACAATCAAGGAGAGCGATGCAAGGCGGATATATGCCTTTGAAATATGGGCGTACAGACGGCTGTTACGGAAACCCTGGACGGCGCACCGAGTCCGTTCTTCAAGAACTAAATACTGAACTAAATCTGTCAAAGACGATAAATCGAAGCTTTCTAACGTTCATTGGCCATATTACAAGAAGAACGGACTCGCTGCAACTACTAATAGTCGAAGGAAAGGTAGAAGGAAGACGGCCGCGCGGAAGGTCACCCAAAAGATGGATAGATCAAACCAAGGATCTTATCGGCCATGGGCTTCATGAAACCGTAATCATAGCTCAGAATAAAACGGAATGGCACAATACCATAAGCACTGTTTCAAGAGCATCATAGTCACTAATCCCTTCTTAGGGAAATGGACTAAAGAGAGAGATTAGACATAGAAGACACTAGCGGATATTTGGCACTTATTTAGATTTTTCTTGGTTTCCTACTATTTAATTTATATTACAAATTCTGTTGTGAGGAAGTGCAGTCAGTGCGCAAATATTTTGTACTCTTTATAATTTAAGTAAGACAATATTAATTGTGTAATTAAATCAAATTATTGTTTTCTTTTGCAGAATAAATATGCCAAAAACCAAATAGGTTTGGACTGTGATCTACCTAACATTATTTGATTTAATATGCGGTCTACCCAAGCTTATTTTATTAGTTTTTGTTGGTTTACAACACCAAAACTAAACTAACCTTAACCTACACAATATGCTTGGGTCATATAGTCTTAGACCATAAACGAAACCGACACCAAACAAATTTTGCATAAAAACAGAAATTTTTATCTAGTTCCAAATTGGATATGATTAGTTTTTCTATATTATTAGCAAAATTATTCACTCTCTCAAAATTTACCAAGGATAGCCTCAAAATTAATTCGGAGGCGATACATCCATATTGGATTAATTAATGTGAACCAAAAATGTATCTTAAAAATGACTGCTAACATTGATTCTTGTCCCACGGGTGATACATACTTCTTGACAATCTAATAAAAAAGTATTTATTATTGATTTATTTTATATTGTGTGTTCTTAGGTGTGTAAGTGTTTAGTTTGTGCCATGTTAAGGCAAAATGACCCCAGACTATAGACAAAAGTAAATTGAAAGTGAGATTATTGGAGGTTACGTTATTGAAGAATAAAAAAATGAAGAGTTTTTTTTCATTTAGGATTATTTATCCAATAATTGAAATCTAATAACTTTTGTGTATAGAAAAAAGAAGAACAGACAGGAAAACATTGTTTCTGCAATCAAACTATATGAACAATTATTATTTACTTTTGGGTTATAGTATAGTTCTGTTTCATTCCTACTTATAAACTACCAACGGGAATCAACCACTAATACAAGTTTCGCATGTTGTACCTATATATTATTTTTGTTAACTTTTTCGTTTTGCTTTTGTAGCATTCAATTTTTTTGATTTTTGAAATAAAGCAAGATTAATTGGGAAGTATTATTTTTACTAGTTTTCTCAATAATGATTTTAAGATCAAACTCCAAAAAATTAATTAGTACTGTAGCTTACGGTGGCGTTATCCCTATAGCTATATCGTATACCATGGAATTCTGCTTTATATTTCAAACTAACTAAATATAAGCGACTCAGAAGCAACCAAAAATTTGATTACTTAACGTATAGATAGAATCAAAACCCTTGTTGTCGTCAACTAACCAAAACCAAAAATTACCGCCGTATGGCAAACGATTCCCGTTTTAGGTCGTTGTGATTAGTACATTCGTATTTTGCTCCATACTAAAATATTCTTGAAGTGGAAACTCCGCAAAAGAGAGTTGTTATGCAAATTTACAAGATTTTCCAATTAACAATTTTGGTTACAGTACTGCGTTCGATCATTTTTATTTTTAAATATTCCGCAAATATTTTTATTGTTACTTGCCTATCATTAAAGCCGGGTTGACAGACGCAAATAAAAATTTTAATTTAAATTGCAATAAAACCAAAAATAGAATTAAAATAATGCTATTATTTAGAACCATATCCCTATATCCCTTGAAAAAGTAACGCGATATTTAGTGAATATTAAAAATGGAAGACGACGGCCAGCTCATTGAGTTAGTTCAAGGTTCTCCTGCAGACTTGCGAAAAAGTATTTATTATATATTTATTTAGTATATATTATATTATTTTGCTGTTAACACCTCGAGCAAAATTCACTTAATAAAAAAAGGAGTCCGGGGCTCTAACATAAAGTGCATTTGGAGGGCATGGGTTTTCTAGATCCGCATCTCGTTGCTCCATGAAATTAAGTCAACAAGAAGGTGTTGAAGCAGCAAATTATTTAATATTCCTGATGCACATCAAACCGACGAGAATCAGTACGTCAACTTTTTCAAATTTTTGAGCACAGAGAACTTCAGTATTTTGGATTTAATTTGTTCGTTTTTCTTCATTGTATAGTATGATGAAGAACAAATAAATAGTTCTCCAGCCACCGCTAATTCAATTATTTAAATTGAAGAAGACACTATAATAAAAGAGTGGCCGATATTTAAAAAATGCCTTTTTTACTTTTTAGTAGATAGGTATTTTCATTAACTGGTGTTCTGTTTGAACAAAACGTGTTATTGTATTATTAAAGTAAAGAAGAAAATTTGCAGTACAAAAAATATCCTTATTTGCGTGTATCAGCCCAGCTTTTGGTATTTTTATGGTGATAAACGTCATATAATATAAAGAAAATTTGAATTTTCTGTCCTGTCCTAGAATAAAAGGATTTACGAATATTCAATTAAAAGTTGTCGTTGCTAAGATGTTATTTACAGTTCCGTCTGGAGACGTTACACTTGCAGGTTTTCTTACGTGCAGTGTAAATTCAATTAAATCGCAATCATCTTATTTGTAAACGGCCTCTAATTCCATTAGATGTGTCCGTGTTTTGCGCAGTTCGGTATTGATATGCCACATTGTGGTGCCTCGAAATACTTATCGCGTCTAAGAAGAAAACGATGCCGATATGGACCGGATTCGCGTAAGATAAGTATTCCCGGCACATTTCTACCAAGCCTTGCTTAATAAAAAAAGTACGGTGGTAAGCCGAAAAAAATGGGTCTTACCTTGGATCGTGGCTGCCTGCTCTTTGATCAAGAAGTCGGCCGGGCTTGGCGGCGGGGTCTTCGAGAACTTCGGAGATTTTGGATCTTTAAGTAAGAGAAAATCATGGTTTTAGGGCGGGGCTTACATATATGCGACATACAGGGTGTCAAAGTTTCGACGTTTTTTGTGCATTTTCCTCCTAAAACTTTAAAATAATCTATTGAAATTTGGTACACCCGGTACAATTCAAATACGACCCCCTCGCACATTTTTGTTACAAATAAATTATCGATTAAATGGGTGTGTTTGAGTTACGGTCACAAAAATTATTAATATTATCAGACATACAAAAACGCCAATTAGCGGAAGATAGTCTGTCTGAATGTTTACTTTTGTGAAAACTCTCCGAGCAGGAGCGCTTTATTTTATTTTGACAAATAAATTAGTTTTTTGCATTTCGAATTCGATACAGTGTCCAAAACACTAGATTAATCAGAGAACTGTTATGTATATTGCAACACGCCTAATGGTCCCCATTTTTGATTATATATTTTCGAAATTTTACGAGGTAACTAAAAAACACACAAGAAATCTTGACGCCTTCCATCTCAGCAACATATGAACATATATGTATGTATATGAACTTTTTTCCTTGTTTTGAGCTGAAGAACAAGGCTCCAAGTTGGGGCAGTGTATTAATCAATCACCCTGTATATGATACACAAGGAGAATAAATTGCATCAAAATTTTAATTAATAATAATTAATAATAATTTAATTAATTAATATTAAAGTTGTTCAGTTCGTTCAGTACTACCAAAGTTAAAGGTCATGGTGGGTAGAAACCTATAGAACCACATAAATTGATCACTATTGCCGATAGGCATGGAGCATTAAAAATTTTTGTGTCAGTGTCAATAGTAATGAGAACAAAGAAGCTGTGTCATTGTTTTGAATCTATATGATTGGTTTTACGATAGAAGAAAGATTTGAAAGATGTTGCCGACGAACTGTAATTGGAAATTATTTAAGGAATGATAAGCTACAGCTTAAAAAATCCGGGAAGGCCAGCCAAAATCCTTTCTATTTTAATAAGGAAAGATACCTACCAATGACAGAACTCTGATGGAGCATGCACCAGAAGACAATATTCCCAAGTAAAGATCTGAAGGAAATGTAAAAAGCGTTCTGCAAATTGCTGTTGGTAAAGAAAATACTTGACAAGTGACAGTGGCATATAGAACAAAAGAATTTTTTTTTATCATGTGATGTGAATTAATGAGGGCTATGTAGTACTAAAAATGTGAGAACGGGTGTTATCTACTTGTATACATTGATAGAGAAAATGAATACTTAAAGTTTATGGAAGTTTGAACCCTCTCAAACGAATGTGAATGCAACTTCTTTTTTTTTTGGTCCGTCCAGGAATCATCTGATAAAATTCTCAAACTCACCTTCGTTTCCGTTCAATCGGGGCTCGATCCGCGCTTTTCCGATCCTCTGGCTGACCTCCTCCAAAAGCTTCGCGTCCTCTCCGGGTTTGGGCGACTGCTCCACAACCTTGTGCGTTTCGACAGTCGTCATCTTGGCCACCTCGGAAACTTTCGAGTCGGATGGAGTGGTGGTTTTTATCTCGATAGTTTCCGTGATAATTCTCGTGGTCGCTGGTTCGGACACCTTCTGTTTCACCTCGGCTATTTTATCCTCAACGATATTCTGCTGTCGGATGGAGCTGATTTCCTGGACGATTTCGCGTCGCTGCGAAGACGCCGGAATCGCTCTTTCGGCCGAAAGACGTTTCTCGATTCGTTCCCGCCTCTCCGTTACGGACTTGTCGAAGTTATCCTCTTCCTCTTCCGACTCGGACTTCTCGACGATCTTCTCTTCTGCAGAGTATTTGTCGTAGTGCTCTATCAGGTTCTTCTTTTCTGGCGATCTCGTTTCGTCCTCTTTATCCGCGCCGCTTTTCCTTAGTCTATACCCGATCTCCTCTTCTTTGATTCGTGAAATCGCGTGGCTCGGTTGCTCTACGTTTAGGCACTGAGGTATGATGTCTTCCCGACCGATTCTTCTGAGCGCGTTCTCCAAGGCGTTGGTCTGCGCCATGTTGCCGCTTTGAGATAGCCACATGCGCAACATTGACTGCGCCTGTTTCGCGACGCTCTCGGGGTACTCGGACTTGATGACGTTGATTTCCGACGAGGTGAGTCCAAGCTGGTGGGCCAGCTCCACCCAGTCGTCACCGAGCAAGTTGCTCATGTCTGCCAGTCTGGTGTCTGGTCGATAGTAGTCTCGGAACTCAGAGAGGAACATGTGCCTCTTCGAACTTTCAGAGTCGGAAAGGGATATGGTGTCCGTAACTATATCGTCGGGTAGCACTATGTTGAGGATACAGATCGGCTGTTGCGGCGGTTCTCCTTTGAGCACCTATACGTTTAACATTGCTTAGGTGAGAATTTTTTAAATTCTGTTACTAAATGGTGCGGAGTAATAAGACCGATCAAATTTAAAGTTCGCTCATACGCGTAGATAGACTAGATAAGAACCCATCAATATTTCGGTTTAAAAATTTTAGTGCCAGTGTCAACATTAACAATGTATGCTACATGAAAAATGATGCATTTAAATTAAAAAAAAAGAATATCTCTACACGGAATTTCGATAGAGCTTGAACAAAAAGGCAACATTTCTACCACTACCACGGAAAACTTGAATGCGAATTTTGTTTCAGAAAAGGATAACCGCAAACTCCTTTCATTTTAGATGATTAATTTTTTTGGCGAAAATATTGTACTTCACAAAACACAAACACAAAAATAATTTTTTCTCTCGATGGGAAGCCGATTGATCAATAAGAATTATGTAGTCATGGTAAGTGCTAGGAACTGCAGATTATCAGTAGGATATGAGTGCCAAAGATTATTTGGAGAAATGTTAAAATATCTTCTGACTGACTCAGTAGGGGTGATGCATAACGCCCAACTACAACTCACGATGCATAAAAAAACATCAGCGTAATCTTGAAGAAAACAAGACATTATAATCTGGATTACGAGCAAACATTGTATTTGAAGCCATCATAGCAAAGAAAAAATTGGTAGCTCAATAGAATTTAAATAAAAATCATTTTTTGATTAAATTCAACAGAACTCATATGAGGTCAAGTGAAAGGATTTGTCACTATATTGTACGCGATATTATTGAAATGACCCCATAGAATAAAGGAGGGAAAATAAACGCACGCCTTTGTTATTTTTATAGCCATTATTTTTGAACGGACAACAGTGGACAAAGTATCTGAACTGGCGCAAAGCCAGATCATAACAGCATCCGATAAAAAAAATATCAATGCTATTCAATTCGATTAAATTATTGATGGCCCGTTCTATTGTCCTTTTGCATGTATAACTCCGCACCATTTAGAAATGTAATATAGCAAAGAAATTACCTTCGCTTCCTTCATAAACAAACATCGTCCTACGGCTTCAGCGTGTTGGTCCTTCACTCTGACCGAGAACGGTAGCCGGTTTTCCCTGAACGCTCTGAACGAAAACGACAACTGTTCTCCGCTCTTCGTGACGGGCACCAGATTTCCCGCGAACTCTATGTACTGCGGTTTGCCTTCCAGCACTTCAACGTCTCTGCTTTTCGCCACTTCGGTGAAGTGCTCCTGGTGTTCTAACGTTTTGTCTTCCTTGTCGTCGGTCATGCAGAATACGCGCAGTCGTGCCTCCAACGGTTCTATCCGTTTGGCGAACACCACGAATTTGGCCATGAACGGCACGTGAATGGCTTCCCTTGGGAAAGAATAGAGGGCTTCGGTCAGCACGTTTCGAATTTTAAGCCATATGTGCAACCGTTGACTATTTATAACATGTATCCTAGAAATTGCAACACCCACTACATGCTTAACAATATTTATAAATAACCATGAAGTGCCCTTGGAGACCAGTTCAGTACAACCTGGCAAATTGAATATTAGTGAGGAATTATGGGTCATAGATTACAGTCACAGTTACTAAAGGGTGATTCAATAAGGGTTTCCACATTAAAATAATAAAAAAAACTCGGAAGAATATAAATATATACAAATATTTTTATTTGCCATTTTAGATTAGTGTATTACAATTAGGTATGAAAGATGATATCATTCAAATGACCCCCGCGACTCATAATTCGTTTATTGAAATTTCCTATCACTTTTTGACACAATTCAGGTTCTATGCCGGCTATTTCGCGTCTAATCTCCTTCTTCAGCTCTGGAATAGTGTTTGGTTTATTTCTATACACTCTGCTTTTTAGATACCCAAAAAAAAAATCTAGCGGCAATTGCATCGTTTCTCTGGATGTGTGATAAGTGGCTCCATTCTGTTGGAACCACAAATCTTTAATGTCCATACCTTCCAACTGCTCCCAGAAAAAATCAGATATCATGTTTCGATAGTGAACACCATTAACCGTAACAGCGTTCTCCGCATTATCCTCGAAAAAGGGGAAACTATTCCTCCGCACCAAAATGCGCACCAAACAGTCACTTTTTGAGGGTGCATTGCTTTTTGAACAATCTCTGTTGGATTTTCTAATCCCCAAATACGAGCATTGTGTTTGTTTACAAAACCACCAACGTGAAAATGTGCCTCATCGCTAAAGATGATTTTCGTAGAAAATGAACCCCTTGTTCTCGTATCCATTCTGCAAACACGCAGCGCTGTTGATGATCTCGAGGTTTCAACTCCTGAGTTATTTGGACTTTATATGGGTGTAGATGCAAGTCCTTTGTTAAAATTCGCTGTGTGATTGAATACGTAAGGCCCACTTGCTGCGATCGATGACGAATCGATGTGTTTGGATCTTCGGCTACACTTTCGGCAACAATGGCAATATTTTGATCTGACTTACCTGCACGAGCACGTTGAGGGACTTTGAGATTAGTTATAGATCCAGTTTGCTCAAATTTTTGAACCACATTCCAAATTGTCCTCTCAGAAGGTCGATTTTGCGCGCCAAAAAATTCACGTAGAGACGGAAATGCATTTGTTCTTGATCGACCATTTTCATAATAGGCTTGCACAATTTTTACACGTTGTTCAGTCGTATATTGCTCCATGGCTAATTTTGTTTATGTTTTGAGGTTAGAAATCTCATATGATAATAAACAAATACAGTGGCGTTTCAAAAATATTTCAGATTGTAATGTGGAAACTCTTATTGAATCACCCGTTATTAACCAATATAGACTGGAATCGGGTGGTTTTCAGTGACGAGTCCAATTGGCAGCACGTCACGACTAGTTACAGAATGTCAAAACCTACGTGAAAGTGCAAATCCTTATTGAATTTTCAAGAATTATCTTCAATGAACTTGTTTGAGGATATTATCGATTGTCAGTAATATTTATCCCTCTACACTTCCTAAAATCTTAATAAAATATATTTACATTTATAGGGTGTTGCAAGTTCTATATAACACAGTATAAATTGCATGAGCAGTGGTCTGGATGTTTTATACGGGATTTGTAACGCAAGCGTCGACTTACTTGTAAAGTTCGGTGGCCATCTTCGTCGCGTCGCCGATATTCCGACAGTCCATCAACCAAAATCGGGCGGATACGGTGGTCGTAAAGGACACCACGTCGTTGACGAACGTCAGAGGCGTGGACCCCGTCACGTCTTCCCATTGGGCTCTGGTGGTTCCACCTTTTCAGAAAATCATTAATGGATAACGCATATTCGACCGTCGACCGCAGTTGCTCGTCATGCTGGGTAAAATAATTCAATGACATCCACTGGCATGCTTACTGGCTCAAGTCATTTCTTTTTAATGCGACAACAGCGATTTCTATCGCAACTAATTTCCCCCGGATATCCGACAATGGAGTCGCTGGTCTATTTTAAGCAACATGGCCAGGGAAATATTTCAACTGTTAATTCAAACCGGTGTTACCACATGACTTTTTTTTGAAAAATCGCTCGAAATGAAATAAAAGAATCCAAAATCAGCTGTGCGTACAAAATTATACGTACAGAGAATAATTATTTCTGTTGCTTCACCCATTTCTTTGGAAAAATTCTCGGCTGCTGTCGACACCAATTTAAACCAAAACATCGTCTTCAAGTTCGCGCATACGCAGAAGCTAGAATCTAAATCAGCTGAGTTGGACGATAGTGAAGGCACAAATTAACTCAAAAATAAGTGATGCACCTTTGTATACGATGAACACATGGAATGCTAGAGAAAATTTATACAAAAAAAGAACCAAAAACAAAAAGAATTGAGGGTGGCGCCTCTGCCAAAGGATGCGATTTTACATAGCCATAGAACATTGAAAAGGCGGAGTCGCTCTTAGCATTTAGCGTAAAGCTATATAAAGGCGAATCCTTTAATTGTGGTTAATTCTCGTTGCACTTTCTTTTTTCATCTGAAAAAATATATCAACTACGTGATCTTTGTTCAGGTTGGTGTCTAGAACTGTTCAAAGTTTGAGCAATCAAACTCTGAACTTTACTGTTTTAATTTCGGTTTTTTTCTTATACTTAATTCGAAATATTTTATAATTTATAATATAGACAATTGATAATAATTGTCTGTTGATTTACAATCCCTTTGAACCGTTTCAAAATTAAACGAAAACAACTCAAATCAAGGCGTTTCTTTAAATTCTTATCATCAGCTGATTAAAATTCCGACTCCCGCTCATGCGCTTAGTTAAATCGAGATCCTGAGACCCGAATGTTCCAGCGTGCCTCTAAGCGTTTTCACCGCAACAGGACGGCCAACAGTGAAAGCGAAGCAAGTGAAAAGCACTAAAAGCACTAAGCGTAAGACACGTTAACGGTTTCAGAAAAGACCAGTCGTGGCAACTAACTTCCGATTTTGCATTGTCCTTTTGTTCACCGAACCCGTGTGACTGAACGACTGATCCAACGCCCGATCCGGGTCGTAACGAAAAACAAAATGTCAAAAAAAAAACATACGAATGCAGCAAATCTATTGAAAGGTGATCAATTGCAATATCAATAGTGTCGTGATTTTCGAACGGTAAGTAAATAAATAATAATAAAGTTGAACGTCTAAGAGGCAAATCAAAATAGATCAGACGAAAACGATTTTAAGTGAATGTACACGCAGCTAATTGTAATCGCTTCCATACACTATTATTTAAATTTTTTTTGGGTTTTGTTTTGCTTCGTATATGATTGTTTCATCGACTTGTTCTCAAAATGCTTGCGACAATCTCTCACATTCCTAACGAAAATAAATCCCAACTAAATTATAATTAAGTAGATAAAATAGGTAAACATTCTAAAATAAATAAGGGGGGCAGCCCAAAATATTCTTAGTTAGTTACCTTTGAGAGATCTTTTCCGAAACACCCCTGGACCGCGTGTGAAAATTATTAAATAATAGCGCATTAGTAGGGGTAGAAAAGTGATGTGTGCAGGGCGTTTTGTTAAGGTTTTTTGGTTCCTTCAAATTTGGTACTTTGCAGAGCAGATCCAATATGAAAACGTGAGAATGACCATCGTATTGTAGTCAATAATCAACGTAAAGAGAGTGCTGACAATTTTAGCTCCAAATTGAGTAATTTAAAACTGACAGCTATCAAGACAGCTCGCTGCTTTGCCAAACAGCCGACACATTTCCAACGCGCTTTCGCAAACCTATTTTTTTCTTCTTTATACAGCTTTAAGTTAAAAGATAATAATAATGATAACCAGTTAACGCATATCTGCTAAAGAAGTTTATCTCTACTACTCGTGAAACTATTTCTATCATTTAAAAGAAGAACGGCATGGTTAAGTTCCAAGTTATGGGACTTATTCAAAGAAAATAACAAAAATTGCAAAAGGTCAGTGGTGTACACCTACCGGAACGGCACCGGACTTCACAATTTTAATCTAGTTAAAGCAAAATTCGGCGTTAATCGTTATAAATGACATTGCGAAATTGAACAAAATCGGAAAAAAGGCTTAACATATTTTAATAAAGTTAAATAAATATCGAACAGCCCGTCTGTTAGCTTGATTTCCGTAACTTTAATATGAACTATTTTCTATTTATTTCTTGATGAATCTCCAGCTGAACGTTGAAACACCCTGTATAATCGACAAAAGGAAGTTTTTTTTTAGGGCAAATAGGTAATGCATATTTACTAGTATTATTTCACAATATAATTTATGCATTAGGTGTCACAAAAAAGTAAAAAGAAAATTTTAATTTTTTTCTGTTTTCAAAGAAAAAAATTCGTTAGAAGTACGGTGCCTTCAATTTATCTTCAATTTAACTTTTTTGTTTTTAGAGATATCAAGATAAACAAAAAAAAATGTAGGGTTAGTAGCCTATAAAACAAAACACTCTCAATGTTCTGACATATAAGCCTACATCATATTTTCTTAAATGGAACGCCCCCCGATTACAATGATGTAACACACTTTATATTTTAGTTCACTTTTTGGCAAATCGGTAAAAATAGGAAATTTTTATATGATTTTAAAGAGTGCCCTAACTGACTGCAACAACAATAATTATTTAAAATTAAAATACAAGAAACACACTAAAAATGACAAGACGCAGTAAAGTAAAAAATTGTTTAACTATTCTAAATACTGCTCTATGTGACCAGTATTTTCCTGAAAACATTTCTCATACACTCTAATTGTATGATTCTTACATTTAGTAACGTTTCCGGATTGTCTCTTAACTGATTGATTGCCTTTGAAATCATTCGCTGAACTTCTGTGCACTTGATTTTTTATATAACCCCAAAAGAAAAAAATCTATTAAAGTTAACTCGGGGCTGTTGTCTGGCCAATCCATAGTTCCGCCGATCACAATTCTTCTATATATTGTTCTATTCTATTGCTCTAACACTTGCAAATATTGATCTCCATTTAACTTTTGATATATAATCGGACCCAAAATATTCCCGTCTATGACACCATACCATACATTAATGAGTTGGTACCCCTAGGTTTTTATTTCGTGTATTTATTATTATCATTATGTCTATTTAAAAAATGCAAACAAAACTGCATCCTCCTTTGACATTGTTCTGCACTTAGTTTTTGAGTTTTACGAAATTTAAATGCATTATATTTATATTCTTTCAAAACTGAGTCGATTAATCCCTGAGAAATCCCTGCCTCTTCATTTACTCTAGTAATAGAGGAAACTGGATGTGCTTCATAGAATCCTAATATGTTTGCCATATTTTGTTTATTTTAAACATTATGATTCCGGCATACTTTTTTAGCATTTAATTCGTTAGCGTTTTCTGCAAATTTCTTTGCAAGCCTTGGAAATATCTGTTTTAAAGGAGCTCGGCGCTCTGGATAAAGTGTAATATACTGACGACGAGCTGCGGTTACACTTTTATTATTCAGAAAGTATACTTTTAAGGATGCTAAATTCGCGAAAAACAATAATTGAACCATGAATGTTGTTTACTAATACGCCAAACATAAACATATTTTTATTTTGTCAGTCAGAGCACTCTGAAATTATATAAAAATATCCTATTTTTGTCTATTTGTCAAAAACGAGTGGGCTAAAATATGAAGTGGAATAAGATATTCTATTAAATACATATATAATATACATGGTGTATCATTTAAAAAATATGAAGTAGGCTTATACGTCAGAAAATTGACAGTGTTTTTTGTTGTATACATCACTTGGAAAAGAACTTTGCAACTAACCCTACATTTTGTTTTTTGTTTACATTGATATCTCTAGAATCAAAAAAGGTAAATCCAATTAAAATGTTATCAAGATAAATTGAACGCACGGTACATATTTGGACAAATACGTTTTAAGTCTTTTTCGAAATAAGCATATATCGGTAAATCAATTAAGGAAACGACAAGAATACCCCATTCTCCAATTTGTATAAATGAGCAAGAGAAAGACAACAGTCTCCATCTCTAGCCGTCCTTTTTTATTGTAAAATTTTGCTAGGACGCGGACTCTATTATACGAAACCCTCAAATGGTTGGTTACGCAAGCAATCACACGCAGTGGCGTCGCGATAATCTTGTTTCTGGAGTTAAAGGTCCAGGTATACGCCATAGCCGTTCACTTTGGCGACATTGAAAATACCAACGAGCGAATAACACTCGCTTAGAAATGTTATTACGTAATTAGGTAAACCTTTACAAAACACACTGCAGGAGGTCACCATGAGGTCACTGACTATATCGAGAAACATCCCAGTGTCATCGCCTGTCGACGCAAAAGCCCGAGGCTGGCAAACTTTGTTTATCAAAAATTTTAACGTTGAATTGTTAGTTTCCCGCCGCTTCACCCGCAAATCGACGAACGCTAAGCATATTTACATGCTCGAGTCGCGTCTAAACTAGTTCCACTAAATCGGCCTGGCTCTATGGACTAATCTAAAAACTCCATCTATATTTACGTATGGACAACAAACAAAACCATAGAGTTGCGAGACGGTCAGTCTCGACGAATCTATCTACAATTATGTTTTTAAAATAATCAAATCTAATGAATCTCTAAGGCTATAAGTAAATGAAAAGCTTGCCAACCCCATAACAATTACAGTTTACGAAATACGAGGGCACACCACAACACCGATACATATTAGGTAAAAAAAAGTTCTAAACGTCCTAAGTAGTTTATTTAATATTTCAAACTTGATCTTGATTTAGAGATAATATGGTGACGTTGAAAACCATTGCAAAAACGTTATTGGCGTGTGAATAAGCTACCAGTGACCAAATAGAAAATGGAAATTTAAGAAATATAGAAAAAATTATAAATACATATAGTCAATTTTATTAATCCGTCTGAAAACCCAGAGGAGATACGAAAAAAAGTTTCGTACAAAAGTTTCTTGGACTCTCATGAAAATTTAAAATATCATAATTTTGTTGATACAGGGTGTCCCAAAGCGTCCCCTTCGACATCATCTTTGTTATTTTAAATGGAACACCCTGTATATATCGATATTTTTGGAATCATTGATTAAAATAAAAGCCACTTTATTAAGAAATTCCTATTCGAATTTTGCATAGTATAGGCAGAAATTGAGGTTATGTGTTTGTTTTCATATTTTGATTGCCCCATATAAAATTGTGTTGTGGCGCTACTGATTCAGGTATTGCAACGAAAATTTAACCACAGACTAAGGAGATAATATACTACTCAATCAGTTTAACAGATACGAATCAGCTTATCAGTCAAGCTCTGAAGAAGCCAACAGGATGATTGGCGAAACGTCAGCAATTTCGACTAAGCAAAAACCGACGCAGGAGGAATCCAGAAGTTTTGTAAAAAGCATTACAGTAGCCTGTGGAAGTTTCTTTGAAAAACCCTATATTTTTATTCAGATATCAATTCTTATATAAAAAATAATAAAGTAATTTTTCTTGTATTTCAATTTTTCTTACTTTTCCTTCGAGGTTTAAGATAACACCCGTATAAATTCTTGTTGAATTTGAAGCTGCCCACATTAGGTAGGCTTTTTAAATAGCAAAAACATGATCCCACTTCTTTTAAAAGTATAATATATACGAATAAAACCTACTCCTAACTTCAGAATTCATATTTAAACAAACAGTTAATTGTTAATTATCTAGCAATAGGTTTTATTATATCTGAAGTATTATATCTGTAAAAGAAGTAGTATCGTGTCTTTGCTATATAAAAAATACCTAATATTACCAATAAGTAACCTAATGTCAGTATTAAATTCAACAAGAATTTAAGCGGGTATCTCAAACCTCCAATATCTCAAAAAGTAAGTAAAATTTAAATATAAAATAAATTACAAACTTACCTTGTTTTCTGTCCTAGAATTGATATATGAATAAAAATATAGGGTGTTCAATTTGAAAATCTTGAGACTTTGTTAATTAAATTCGCCAAAACGGCATCGCTTATTTGGGACGCCCTGTATAAGCTGAGGCGTATCTGTCAAACTGATTGAGTAGTGCATCATCTCCTTAGTTGGTGGTTAAATTTTCGATGCAATACCTGTAGTCAACAAGTAGCGTCACAACACAATTTTGTATGAGGCAATCAAAATATGTAAATAAACACATAACCTCAATTTCTGCCTTAACTATGCAAAATTGGAATAGGAATTTCTTAAGAAAGTGACCTTTATTTTAACTAAGGATTTCAAAATGCCGATATATACAGCGTGTTCCATTTAAAATAACAAAGTTTATGTCGAAGGGGACACTTTTGGGACACCCTGTATCAACAAAATTATAATTTTAGATTTTTAAATTTATATTTTAAAACTTCTGTACGATACTTTTTTTCGTATGTCCTATGGGTTTCCAGATCGTATAGTGGATCGCTTTATTTGCCACAATATACAGTGCGAATCTCTAACTGGCAATAAATTTAATAAATAAAATTGAAGTAACAAAATTTTTCGCAGCGTAGTATCTAGTATTTTTTTTTTGAAATGGCAAATCATTTTAAAATAGAAAACCGAGTTACACATGAGTGTCAACATTTTAAATTTGAAAATTTGATTCTTCAGAAAAAATATTGTGTACTTAGTTACTGCATTTTAGTGTAACTTTTCAAAATCTGCGAACAGCAGCCCACAACTAATAGTGTCCTGCAATGCTAAGGTTCTCACTTGATTCTATAAATATGTTAAATATCTTTTAAAAGGAACAAAAATTTTAAATTTGATATGAGTTTGTAATTTATCACCATGTAACCTTTAAAAATGGTTGCAAAAAATTAATGATGCCATTGAAAAAAAAATAGGTGATATAGTAGTACTTTGAATTTGGGACATGCTTTATAAAACTTTGTTACATCATAAAAGGCGCAATTTAAAATACTGTCTTTACCAAATAAAATTTATCAAAAAAATTTTCTAGTGATTCTCTTTCTACAAAATTTGGGTTTGTTGAGGATCAGATCAGGTGGTCTATAAAATTTCCAATTTCCAAATTTAATCCGAAAAAAGTTTTTAAAGCAGTGCAAGTGAAATTGATCCAACGAGCATATACCTGAGAAAAAAGACCTTTGATTTACGGTATGAATTCCAAGAGACTCGCACTGTATTTGTCAAAAACAACATAAATTGCAACTAGCAATATTTATTGAGAAGTTTTTAACTCTGTGGCATCTGAAAACTTTTTATGATGCGTATGATAAAGATAATGTGGAGTTCCATAAAAAGAGTAGACATGTGTGTATTTACTTCAAAATTGTGAAAGTATAATACAAGGCATTTAAAAAATAATTAATATTTTAATAAAGCAAAACAAAGCTATCATATACAATATTAATATTGACGTTTGTTTTGCTGCAATTTCAAATTATTAGCGTGCGCTTGGACTTGGCAAATTTCGCTATTTTGTGGGTGATGTGGTCACTTTTTAACTTTTTTGCAACGGACTTCAGAAACCAAATATTTCTCCCGATCCAAAATAAAGCGAACCGAAAAGAATAACGACCCTACCTGTGATCGAACACAATAACCTCAACGTCGGCGCAGAACCGGAATACTGGTTGATCATTCCTTGAGAATGCGCGGTGGGCGCGGGCATATTCAGTCTGATCGCTTTGTGGAATTTCCTTCTGCGCGGTTCCACCGTAACCACCGGAGAGACGGCTACGCCATGGCCAAGCAGTTTAGCAGTTAGTTCGGGATCGATCGGCTGAGCCTGAGGATCAGAGGCGGAACTGTCGGTATATGTGGTCGAATCCTTTACTCGACAATGACGTCATCTGGCCCTCTCGAAACGAGTTTCATCCGTCATTCGTATAGGACAACATAGTTTAGACGCTTGATGCCTTTGTTTTGACTTATAATGCCAGAAATTTGGACAAAGTTTATATTAGACGTGTGTCATATACATTTTGATCAATAATCAATATAGCTACCACAGGAGTTGGCATTCAAGACAGAGTTTTTAATTCAAAATTATGTTTTTCTGTTTAAAATAAACTCAATTTCCTCACATATATAAAACAAAAGGTAGTAAATGTGATTAGGTATTAATAATTATTTTTGCTGAGGGAGACAATTAATCACCACGTTAGTTTTGGTTGACTAATAATAAGTTTTTTTTTCAATAAACCGTACCTATTGCATATTTATTTACTGCAAATTATCGTATATAAACATAAATTGATACTCATATATTAATAAACAATGTTTAGTTTATAGATATACAATTTTTTCGGTTTTTTTTTCAAATATGTGATAATTTCAGGCGATCCAAAACTTGGACCTTAAAGATCGGCGTAATGATAAAAATTAGAAAAAAAGCCATGCGCATACTTACCGGCATTTATCGGAAGGTTAAGGAGGAGGCGGCGGGAGGGTAAAAGGCAAGCACAACACAAAGCAAGGTTCGACAGCGGAAAATAAAAAAGAAACGATAAAAATAAATAAGCGGTCAATGTCACACAACACGATGATGGATGGATGCGAGTATAGAGTATCCGCGTAGTGAGCTATGAGAGCCCAATAAAATTTGCGCCGAGCTATTGATTATTCTGTGGCAAGTAGAACCGTGCTTTGCTTGTGACAACGAATACTTCTGCGGTAACGTTTATCCGATCTGAGGCCGAGCCCAAAGTATTTGTTGTTCTCGCCGTTTTCGAAAGCAATAAAATTAGTTTTGTTAGTTTCACAATTTTATTGGGCACTCACACGATTACATTCAACGCTAGTGCACAGAAAACGAGTGAGTTGAGTAGTTATTGATCGCTAATGATGTATGAATGATTAATTAAACTGGCGGGCAAAGTAGGAATCACCCAATTTGAGAAAGATTTCGTTGTCTGATTGTAGTCTGAAACATGTCGATGTTTTAATGGGCCTCCGTTTTTGAAAACTTTTTTTATCGGCAATGTACAAAAATATGCTACGTAAAAAAATACCAAAATATCGTTTCAAAAATATATATATGTGGTATATTCTAAGTATTCAATGCGCAAAATTTTGCATACAACCGATTTCCATATTGAGAATGATAACATGTAACGTTAAAAATGTACAATGTTCGGGGCGGCAAATTGGTAACACCGAATAAGTAAATTGTTAAACAGGTAAATGTTCGCGGTATTTGGCACTCTGCCGTACGTAACGATCTGCAACAAATAAATTTACCGAATTTCTAACCATTTAACAGTTTGACTATTCAACAAAGGGTTGCCACCCCAGTTCGCTGCTTTGTTGCAAGTCGATACGTGTCTTAAAAGCTACGACTAGTTATACGACTAGAGATAAGTTATTACTTGCTTTTCCAGTTATACAGGCTTTGATTTGCGCGAAATAAATCGCTGCGCCAACTCCAAAAGCATCCAAAAAGCTTTTCCCTAGTGATTCAACCAAATTGTTATAACATTTGGTATCAAGGTACGACTTCCAATCCATATGCCTACGTCGCAAGAAACAAATCTAAAATTTACGAAATCTGACCTACAAAAATTGATTTCCATTGTTTTTTGAGCATTAATTTGGAGAATCCGACGCGAAAAACATATGAAAATAACGGTAGATGCCGTGAGACACGCAGAAGTTGCATAATTTTTGTTTGCCAATGTTTTTCAGAATTTGTCATCCTAGATCTAGCGCCGGATTTTTAAAAAATCCCTTCTTGTTGTACATGGGTAAGCGTAAGGCAGCGAAAAAATTCTTTTTCCTGTAGAAAAACTTAGAGAAGATGAGTGAATCATTAGGTTAACAGCCCGGGACGTCATTGCATTTTACTTGCCCCTTCCTATTTTAAAATTGTAACAGATGCCATCTAAATTGCATCAACTTGGCGGCGTGCAAAAGTGTTGGTTTGTTCTAAAAGATGTTGTGACTAATAATGCGTTTATTGTCTTTAAAGAAATGTATTAACTATTTTATCAGAAAAGCTTTGTCTTCTAGCCTCATTATACCTATTCCATTTCATAAACTTCGTTTTTCACGTTATTAGTATTAGTCAGTCATTTTACAAGTTATTCCTTTACGAAAGCTTAGGCGGTAGCTCTTATGGGTTGGTTGTACTTTTCATTTTGATCTGTTGATTCAGCCAACAGCATAAAGAACTGTAAAAGACCCCCACGTTTCCCAAAAAATTTAAATTTTTAGCTAGCTTGTATTCACACTCTGTATAAAGAGAAAGGAAATGTAAACTTTATGGACATATAGACATATAGAGGCCCTGCCTATGCTGACAGTACAGGAACTCGGGAAGCAACCATGTAATTTTTTTTTGAGAAGGTCCTGTCGACATGCGCATGCGCGAAATTTGTAAATTCACTTTTAACCAATGGCAGCTCTAATGAAAAGTTCTGACATAGGACCCGTAAGGCCTTACAGCATTCAACAAACAACATGGCCGCTTACAGATCGTCGATTTTTGGATGCGGCATTTTTACGACAGTATTTTCTCAAAATAAGCCGTAATCATATTAAATTTTCAAGTAAAAAAGGAGTTAAGGTCTGGAAAAGCAGTGCAGAATTACATCCCTGTAGATAAGATGCGATTTCTAAATGTCTTTCTTTATGTAAACTTTGATATGCTACATATCGCACAAGAAACATCTAAATGAAAAAATGTTCAAGAAGCACCTTCTATACACAGTAATTGCCATGGGATATTTCTTATGCTTGTTCAAGTAAAAGTTCAACTTGAGGTTAATTGCTTTCTTATATGTCCTTTAATTCTTTTACACTAAAACATATTACCCAAACATAACCATTTAAGAGTACCTAAAAATGTAGCGAATTCTGTTTAGCAAATTCACATGTAAATATTTGCGTAAGTCTATTTACCAGCTTCTTAAATGTCAAATATATAGGCATCACAGTTTGTTAATTACACAAGTTTGTGTAAAAAAAAAAACAGCAATGATTGCCAATTATTTTCGGATTTTAGAGATTGATGTTGTTGACAGATTTGTCAATTTTCCATAAAAATTACGGCAATGTAGCTACTCGGTTACTCGGTTCTCTACGAAAAAATTATAGCCAGCTACGGCGCATCAATTTAGTAGGGCTCCCTTATAGCTATATGGTCGCTCTTCACTTCATTTCAAATTCTATAAAGTTCTGCGTTTGCTGACGATTTTAAAGCCTACTTAAGCTGTTGCTTTTGGTATTCGCAAATCATAGCCTGCATTTCGAAAGCGACCAAGCTATGCATCCCGCACCAAAATCGATTACCAAATGAGCGACCACCGTTTCTTTTTCGGTATATGATTGACGGTAATTTTGCGAAGTTTCTCGAACGGTACACCCTTCCTCGGCTTAAAGAGATTTACCTGAAGACCGACTTTGATTTTCTTGGTTAATGCGCCCTCGGGGAAAATCGCTTGAACCTGGGGCACGACCGTGCTCGAAACCATCCCGCCTTCGGGGCCGATCGCGTGCACTTCCTGCCTTATCCTGGACACGACGGCAAAATACTGGGGGAAGTCTTGAGTCACTATCCTCGTGATCCTGCCCGAAGACAAGTCTTCCATTTCGTTCAGATCTGCGAGACGTCAAAATTAAGTTCACGGATTGTATTTCTAACGTGACAAAGACGCACCTTCGGCTTCGAAACTGTCGTGAAGCACCTCGTTCAAGATATCTTCTGACGCTTCTACAGTATGCTCTTTCCACGACTCCCCGTTATCCGACCTCAGGATGACTATTTCCCGCTCTTTGCCGCGTAGGGCCGCAAAATGGGGAACCTCGATAATAACGGGCCTGAAATGGGGGTTTTCATTTACACTCGAACTAGCCACGAATTTCACGGAAGAAATTACCCAAGGAATTTGGCGCCCACGGGTCCCAGTTCCAGGATTCTACTGGCCAGAGCTTCCCCTTCCATTAGGGGCGGCGGATGAGGCGTTCTCTGCGGCCTGACGTAGCGGCAGGTGATCCTCGTTGGACTGGGCGCACATCTTGGTGGAACGATGACTTTCACCCCTGAATGTCTGCACCCTCTCATTGCACCGCCACGGGCATCGACCAGAAACGAAACTAGGAAGCTGCAGAAATGAATAAAAATAAATAAATATATCCTTTGACAATAAAGAAGAGCTTTTAATATCTATTAAAAGTTTTCATACGGTTTACGTACTAATTGATTTCTTAGATGAAAGCCAAAAAAATATAATAGCCTAACCAAAGCTATCCTAAACTTAAGGCAATCATCCATGACGTTTTTCACATCGCACAAACATCTCTAGATCTCTAAGGTCAAAAGCGCACGAAGTAATATATACGTGGTCACTTTGAAGTTGCGATATCCAAAACAGCAAAACCCGGTAGACACGATGCAAGTTTTGCATGTACTTCTGCATTTATATTTTTCTCCAAAATATGTCAAATTGCAAGAAATTTGATAGAAAAAATTCGGCCGCTATTTACTGCAAAATAATAAAACAGTCAATTTATTGGTTTAATCTCGATGAAAAATATAAATATATATAATAAAATCAGAAAACCATTTGTGGAGAAAAAAAAGCGCATTAAGCAAAAAAAAACTGCATGTAATAGTTTATTAGAAATTTTAATTATTATTATATAAATGAAGTGGTGAACATGGTAATATGGTGGTAATATTGGTATTTATATTACCAACATGATTATAAAAATACTTATGATTTTAAAAAACTGTAGGTGTTGCAATTTAACCGGGAAATTTAAAAACAACTATTGTAACATATGCAAATAAACAATAAGTTAAAAAAAAATAAACAAAAGCACCAAATTATATATAATCAATATAACATTGGAGTTTATAAAGCATTTCAAACGTTGAACATCCCCATTTGGCTGGTTTTTAATATTGGGTTAATTTAATTTAAATGTCCGCATATTATAAATTTTATTTGCTGGGTATCAAAAGTTATAGACAACATTTAAAAATATATCTTTACCAAAATAATCAACCATATTTGTTTTCAAAAAATAGCATCGTGTCTACCAATTAAAAACTACTCGTTCAAAATACAAGCAACAGCATTTTTTTTATTTTCTTTTATTTAATTATTTTTTAACTTTTTCAAATACTAAAGAGAAACATTTAAGTGCGCCGAAATACTAACAAGTTTCCCAATGTGTTTTATCAACCATTGAAATTCCCAAAACAAACCAAAAGTGCTACTTTGTTTGCCTGAATTTATCAAATAAAATTAAGCTCTCTAATAGCGTGCAACTTACTTTTTCCAATGCAGTTTCCTGTGTCAGCGTGGCATCGAGAAAACACGGATATAGCTTTAGTTACGTGCGAGATGACTTGACTTACCCTATGTTGATAGGATGGGTTGAAATATCCACGTTATCCGGAGAATACTTCTTAATGTACTCGACGTAATTTCTGGATACATGCTCCGGACTGATGGAGTCTTCGATGTGTTGAGGAGGGAGCATGTTACTGTCGACGCTCGTCACCATCCTGTTGGAGTCGATCCTCTCGTCTCTGGTCACATCGATGGGCAATGAATCGTCACCGAGAGATTTCATTTCGTCCGCGGTTAGGTACCTGTAGGTCTGGTCGCCCAATACAGTGTCCTCGCCTGGAAACAAATATAGAGGGCGTTCCTCAATTATATAAGAACAGTTACGGGAATTTGATATAAACGGTGGTAAATGTTAGGTATATACTGCTAGGTGTTTTTTATTTTAAATACTATGGATGACATAATAACAAAATGTTCACAACTTATGTATGTTTTGTTTAACATGGGTCATTCAAATTAAGTATTCAAGGAATAAGCGGAATAAGGTCATTTTAAGTCGCGTTGTTTGCCAATAAGAATTAGCGGGGTTCAACAATCAACATGGCCGCTGACAGTTCGTCAATTCGTTAGTTTTAAGTTTGATGTTGCATTTTTAGGGCAGTATTTTCTCAAAATAACATCAGATCCCTGTAAATAATACAAGTTAAGTGTGTATAGATCGCTGTTTGTTGTGTCTGAAATTTAGGAGCAGCTGCCTGAGACGCATTAATGTTTGCGGACCCTATATTATCGAATAGCTATATGGATTTTTGCACTAAACATGTGAACTTGGTTCCGAATACTAAAACTGTAGAAACTCTTAAGACTCTTAAGACATTCAGAGTTTGGACCCTCTTCAGCAAGCGGTGGACAAAAAATACGATAGAATACGTTTAAGAATGTTGGTAGTTTAATAGGGAACAAAGTGTATTTAGTTTTAGAACACGGCATGTAAATAAAGTGTCATTAGGGACGCGTCAACGTCAAAAGGCACTGTCAAAATGTCAAACATGCGTCAAATCTGATTGGTTTAAAAATGAGAAGCGACGTAGCACTAACAAAAATTTTAAAAAGGGCAAAAATTATATATAGGTCTAAATCAAAACAAACTGTTGGATGTGGTTGTCCATTTCGAATCCAGGTGGAAAGATTTTCGTTTACTCAGCGTTTAGGCGATGTCCTATTAAAACGAACTAAACATTTATGAGCGATCTGTAATAAGTAATGAGATTGACGAGTACGTCACATCTCGCAGTTATTAGCATAATTATTTACGCTACCGCCGATACAAGGTTAACTTTGTGTACGCTTAGCGTTGACTGAAATATAAACATTAATGTGGTCGGGAGTAAATAAAAATCGATGACTTCAGCGGAATAAAATTCGAGATATTCACGGAATCCGCGCTTAGGCCGACAAATATTTTATTAGTTCCACATTGTGCCATGCTATTATTATCGCCATCGGAGATCCAAATTTCTTCGAATTTTTTTTTTTTAAACAACTCATACGACTATTTAGGGAGAGGTCCTAATTAGCCGTCACAAAATATTATTAGCTGAAAACACAAATTCGTCTATGCTGACAAATAAAAAGCGTTAGTTATAAATTATTCAAAGGATCCATAGACAGATACATAGATAAATATATAGACAAAAATTAAAAAGAACAAGTCAGAAAAAAAGTAAAAATGCAATTTTCACAAAGTCAAACAAATGATAAAAAAACAGGCACTAAGCCACATATATTTTAATTTTTCTATTCATGTTATTTCGTTGTGATTTTTATTTAACGACACCCAGAAATTCACAACGTAATGTGTAGTTAGATAAAAATGTCTCGAGGTGCTTTTTGAACTTTGTGATTGGCAGATGATTGGAAGAGGATCGCAGAGTCGTAAAGCAGCAAATATTAATGGTTATATCGCTGAATGCAGAAATTGTTTCTGCTTCTTGTTACTGTAAATATTTAAAATATAAAGAACTTTTGATTTATTTGACCATAGCCAATATCCAACCAACTATTAATTGTCAAGAGTAGCAATCTTATATCTCCCCTCTTCTTAAACCCACAATTCAACAGAGTTCTATTAAAAAGACAGTTTCAACGCATGCTAATTTATGACCCTTAATGAAAGAAGGAGACTTTCAACAACTAGTGACACCTTCAGGAAAACATAGCTTGTATGCAACTGCAGGCAAATCGATAATTTTTTTTTAAAGGACAGCCACCTCAGCCAATTCCAGGAATTGGGTATGTAAACAATTATTTTAAAAAAGGCTCTTTAGTTAGACATTGTAATTATGCGGAGGTAGTATACATCCAAGCTATGAATAGGATACAATTCAATCAACCTACCTCTCATAAACTTAAATTCAATATTTGATAGCAGACCGCACTGATTATTACATCTGCACTATTCTGAATGATGGATATTCCAGAAGATGTTGTACCTTTACTGGGAGTTAAAGATTTAAAAGCATATCTGAAATAAAACCGCCATTGCTCACTTGCCTACGGATTCAAGATAAAGTATCGCCATCTGTGGGGCAATCGCGGTACCCAATACGTCACTACATACTACCCCAGCAAAAATCACCCAGTATTTAAATAACAAAATCAGACCCTGAACAGATTTACTTCAATATAAATCAAATCAAACCGTTTTATAATCTATATATAATCAATGGTGAGTAATTCTGCGCATTATACTTGCTCGGCAAAAGTGACTACACAGCGATTATAGAAAAAACGATTACCCAGGAACTGAACATACCTGTGGTATGGAGAAACGCATTAAATAAAAAATTGTACATTGTAAGTATAAGAAAACTATTTTCTTAAACTAAGACAAAAAAAAATAATATAACTAAATATAACATCGTTCATTAGAGGGAGGAGATGCACGCAAAGGCGGACCGAGACGCCGACAGAAAGGAAATAGAGACAGAACTACAGCGACAGCGGGAGCTACAGGAAAATATAGTAGCATAGTATACATGAGAAAAAAAACCTGCATTTATTTTACAGCATTACACTTTCTTCCAGTGATGTTTTTTATATTTCTTATGAAAGTTCGTTTTCTTTGTTGTAATTTGATATTATATGTATGGCATTCCAATTACTAACAGCAAAATAGATGAAATACTTTTACAAATTTGCAGTTTTGTGTTGCAGCAATCTAAAATCAGTTAGTTCTATGTCGGGTGTTATGAAAATGGTCAGATAGGGAGGCTGACCACCTATTTACAAAACAATGCATGTGATATTTTCTACGATACTTCATATTTAATAATTTGATAGAAGTTAGATAGGATGTTATTAGTTTTGTAAGTTCTGGTTTTTTGTACCATCCGCAGCAGCGATAATATCAGAGTGTCACATAACTGGATCTTTAGCAAACGTTGAAAAAAGTTTAATTTTTTTAAAGTCAATTTGAAGCTTATTAACCAAGTGGTACAGGAAAATTTTAAATTTTTATGTCTAAATTGGTCTTGATGATCTACTCATTATTTTTGTTGCCAGCACAAAGCAAAACTTGTAATTTTGCAGGATTGAGTTTTAAATTGTGATTCAAGGTATAAACTTTTCTTTGCTACTGTAGTACTATTTACAAAACTTCTGTTGTTGTTCGTTTCGCCAATCATCCTGTTGGCTTCTTCAGAGCTTAACTGAAACTGGTTCGTATTTTACTCTATACCTGTTTATATATTGTTTGAGGGGGGCGGAGCTAAATGAGGGGCATAAACACCGTCTCAGATGATTGATTCCCATATTTGTGACAGGTAGAGACCTGAGTGGCGGTTAAGATTGTTAGGTTGCTAATAGATTTCTATAGACTTTCGGATTTTTCGTTGGTAGGAGATTTGATTAAATGCAAGAATTTTAGTTTTATCAAAAACAAAATTTATGTCCGGTTTCGTGAATGTGTTTGGCAACTGCTGATGAGTTTATTTGTCTTACTGAGAGACAGTTTCAGTCAAGCTCTGAAGAAGCCAACAGGATGATTGGCGAAACGTCAACAACTTCGACTAAGCAAAAGCCGACGCAGGAGGAGGAATCCAGAAGTTTTGTAAAAAGCATTACAGTAGCCTGAGGAAGTTTCTTTGAAAAATTTATTTGTCTTAGTCTCTGCCATGTTCTTTGAGCCTTGTTGATATTTTTCGTCCAGTCTCTCCAATGTATTCTTTGCCGCATATGCATGGGATGCTCTAAACTCCTGGCATCTCAAATGAAATTTTATCTTTGACGGATCGAAGATATTGAGAGACTTTTGGAAACGTCAAAACCAGATTTACCACTCGCGTAGGGGGAATACTAGCTGCTCTGATATCCTTTAGCTCTTTACTTTATTTACTATATTTTAATTCCATTAAAATTTTGAAAATCAAACTTCGGCATTCCATTCTCATAACTGTTTATATTGTAATACTGGATAGTCCCTTGTAGGTAACTGTCGCACAGTCTTTAAAGTTGATGGGCGTTTAACAAATTTTCTGGCAATTTTTTTTGGTTTTGTTTTTAGTTAAGTTAAGATGACTGGCACTTTTCCAAACATCTTTACCTTTTTTATTTAGAAAGTGAACGAAATAAGCTATTTTTCCTCGGATTATGGCGTGCTTTAAACAGTTTATGAGTTATCTATAGTACTGAAGATGTGGTTGTGTTCTGGCTTTCAAGTGCTTACGCAAAAAGTTTAGAATGCCATGAAATTTTGATTTTGAACTATGATTTTCCAACAAATTAATGTTTAGTTCCCAATTATAGGGCTACTACTACTAGCTTCTCCTAAATTATATACATTAATTGAGCCTACGATGTGAATTCTTGGGTAGCGGTAAAAAAAAGGTAATATCAGCATATTTCATATCATCCTCTCCATTTTTCGCCTACAGGGTGTTAAAGTTTTAGGAAAAAAGTTACTTTTTTATAGCGATGTTCCACTCCAGATATTTTTAATACGTAATAAGTTTTGTACACACCTTTTAATCATTAGGGTGTAATTTTGGACGTCAAAGATTCTTAGATTCTCAAAATTGTTATCAGTGACGTCGGCACCGACTTTGAACTGAATATTTTTGATGAAAAAAATGGCATACAACTGCTTTTTAAAATAATTAAAATTATGTCATTTCCGAAGCAAATCTAATGATTGCTTTCGATATTTTGTGGAAATTAGATAGCCACCTACCATGTGCGGAAACGTTTTTTTTTAGGGACAAAAAATCATTTTCTATGCTTTTGCCAGTGATTTCCATGTTGGCACGATATGGTTCTCTTTTTAAACCGACTTTTATTGATAATAAAATCGCCCAAAAATTCACACCCTTAAGTATAGGCACTAGATTAATCTATCTAGATCGTTCAAAATTCAATTCAAGATGTCCTGCTGTTTTCTTAGTTAATAGCTTTGTTGCTTCTGACATCTGTAATTTATTTGTTGTTTACAGCCTGTCGAAGTTTCTTTAAAAAAAAAACAATATACGGAACCTGGCGACTTCTGCCAGCTATTTTCCACGCTCCTCATGGTCGATCTAGCGGTTATTATTTAAAAAAATAATATTACCAAGGAACATTTTCAAAAATCTATTTTCCTGGTTATCCCGCGTGAATAATAAAAATTTGATTTGATAAATAAACTTACGGGTGTCGAGGGTTGTGCCGTTGAAATAGGGAAGGTAAACGTGACGCTCGTGAAGTGCGCTGCCGAATCCGTCCAAAATATCTTCCCCTGTTTCGAAGAATGTTTTGGTTAGGAGATGGTCCGATTAGGAATACACGAGGCAACATCGAGAAGCGTAAACATACAGGGCGCTCGGAAAGTAAACCGACAATAAACGAAGACACCAAATTCTACGAACGATTTCAGAAACTTTTCCCAAATAAAGGTGGTGATATTTTCTTAATTATTTAATTGATTCCTATAGTGACTTTTATCATTATTATTATTATCATTAATATTATCAATCGTTTGGAAAGTTATAAAAATATTTTTTTATAAAAATTCACTTTAAAGACGAACTTCATTTTTTACCATCCTTAGAATTTGCAGTTGATTTCGGACACCCTGTATAAAGCCGAAAGCACCACCGATAACAACAACTTATGCACGAAAATATGAAATTCTTCGTCACTGAAATTTAGATTTCTATAGCTACGCTTTGTATACTAGTACGAGTAGTCTACTAAAGTTCTAAGAGTTAGCTACTCACCAGAATAATTCCACATTTCAAGAAAGTTCACCGAAATAAACTACGCAAAAATAAAGTAAAACTTTGCTAGTTTTACGACTACACGCTGTCAAGTGTCTTTCACTAACTGAACAATGCAAAACCCATTCCAGTGAATGAGAAAATTGGATTTGTTAGACGATATACGAAAGAAGACCTATCTCTACGACACAAGGAATGCAGGTCTAACCTGGGGGAGCCGATTCCATGATACCTGCGTGTTCATTTGTGCATTCACGAGAGTTTAATAGTCGGTGGAGTCTAAAGTTTCCCTGGCGAAACGGCTATGTGATAAAATAGTCGTGTACTAGAGTTGGTTTATTAAGGATATTTTTTTCACAAATTCTAGTAACAACTGCAGCTACTAAACCACTTCATATGACTAACGTTGACATGCAGCTAATTTTATTATTTATTATATTATATTCGTTCTAACCTAAAGTTATTACAACCATTCTAAATGTTCCTTAATTAGTTAGTCATTTTTCTTATGCTAAATAATATGCGGTTAACTTTATTTTCTAGTTAAATAAGTTATTTTTCTTCTCTCGTTCGGGGACTAATATATTTGTTTCATATTGATATGAATTTAATTGAAAGTAAAACCGCGTCCTAGTGGACTTTATCTAAACTGTAACGGCAACAATGTAAAAGAAGAGTTAGGTAATTGTAACTGCAGAAAAAGAAGTAATGATGATTGTTGGTTTATGGTCAAACATATTTTTCTTTAAATATGTGTATAAAATTAAATTTATAATAGTAAATAATAAATAGCTCTATTACTTTAACCATTGACAACAAAAAATTAACAATTAAATTTGGTAGTAAAATTGGTGTGGAAAGTCAGATATCTGGCACAGTCAGACACTGCTGCAGGCCAATGGTTAGCATTAAATTAAGAGACAAACAGAGAAATGGAATGGGAGTGGGATGGAATTAAGGACAAAGAAACATCTAGGTAAGTGTTTAAGTAACTTAACTTAAGCCTAACTTAATAAATAACCAACGAAAAATGCATTACAAATTTATATACTTATAAATATAAATAAATAAGCCTTGAAAAGTTTAAAAAACATATTAGTAGTTAGAATTTTAAAAAGATTAATTATACCAAGTATTTACTAAAGATTTATCATTTCTTGAAAAATATTTTAAAACTTTTGACAACTAAATGAAGGAATATAAAAAATATCAAAATGCTGATAAATTTTTCATTTTTATATTTTATTTATGTAATAATTTGAATAGCTGCTATTTATTTATAAAACAAAAACAGATAAAGTAAAATTTCTTTTATCTGTTTATTCATTGACAGCAACAATAAAATTATTTGCTGTTAGTAGTCAGAATATATCACGATCACTTAATTCAAAAAAAGGTAAATGATTGAAATGAATTTCACAAGTACCCGTTAGCAAAGGATTTTTGACCCAGGTAAAAATATTAAAAAATATCTTATTACAGCTATCTACCATTAGCATGCATGACACACATTTTTTCACTCAAAATAAAATTTGTTGCCCCAAATGGGCTGCATTAACTGGACCATTACAGTTTATCAAAAGGACTTCCCTGTGACTGCAAGTAACCGAATTATAAGAAGTGTTTTTTTTCGATGTATAGAACTTTAAGTTGCAATAAAACAACGATGGATTATTCGATTGACATGAACTTTATTTATCCGAAAGATAATCTTGTGGCATTACATTTTAAATATGATTTCTGGCATATGACCGCCACGGCTGGCGCGGATGTAGTCCAATCTGGACGTCCAATTTTCGATGACTTTTTCCAACATGTGGCCGTATATCGGCCTTAACACGGCGAATGTTGTCTTCCAAATGGTCAAGCGTTTGTGGCTTATCCGCATAGACCAATGACTTTACACAGCCCCACAGAAAGTAGTCTAGCGGTGTTAAATCACAAGATCTTGGAGGCCAATTCACAGGTCCAAAAAGTGAAATTAAGCGGTCACCAAACGTGTCTTTCAATAAATCGATTGTGGCACGAGCTGTGTGACATGTTGCGCCGTCTTGTTGAAATCACATATCCTGGACATCATGGTTATTCAATTCAGGAATGAAAGAATTAGTAATCATAGCTCTATACCGATCACCATTGACTGTAACGTTGTGGCCACCATCGTTTTTGAAGAAGTACGGACCAATGATTCCACCAGCCCATAAAGCGCACCAAACAGTCAGTTTTTCTGGATGTAACGGTGTTTCGACATACACTTGAGAATTAGCTTCGCTCCAAATGCAGCAGTTTTGTTTGTTAACGTAGCCATTCAACCAGAAGTGCGCTTCATCGCTAAACAAAATTCTCGTTTTGGGCCCATTCGACGAGCGTTGTTCAGACGTGAGTCTATTCATGATGAATTGCCAAACCAAACTGAGAATAAATCACTTGACAGCTGTTAAATAGGTCGCCATCTTGAACAGTAATGCCAACTTAAAGTTCTATACATCGAAAAAAAACACCCATTATTTATATTGTGATAAGATTTATTTTTTAGTCCTCCCTATAAGTTTCTACTTCCATTTTGTTTATATAAACACGAACGAGCGAGCAAAAGCCGACTCAAGGTAAAAACAATTTTGAATTGTCAAATCTCGTTCTCTCTCTCCCTCTACCAACCGCTTTACCTAATCCATTGTTATTTTATATGCAATGGCTAATTTTAAATTCTGACCCACGACGATTGCGATTCGTAATGGGCGAATTATGACATCATACGTTTTACTATGCCTCACGATTTAAAGAACGCAATGCATCATTAATATTTTGCGTCGCAACGTTAATAGGAATGATCTGGTGCAAATGTACGCGAAGAATCCATCTTTATATGTGTAAAATAAAGCCCATTGATAAAATGGACCGTGATTCGAATGCACGGTAATTACTCAAATTAAACAAGGTCGGCCGTTCGTCAGAAACCAATAATAGAAACAAATAAACAATGGCAAGGCCTGGTTCGGGCGAAATTTATAATAAGTATTATGCAAGGCCGGCGGACGGAGGATTCGATAAACAAAAGGAACGAAACGAAGTGTATTATATTTTGCACCTCATCAAATTGGATAACAGGTTTGTTCCAACACAACTAATTTAAGATTTACAATTAAGTTAAAAAATAATCCGGAATTTAATGCTTTGCTGGAACAGTGCTTTAGTTAAGAAGTAGTATAAGTAGTATAATAATATAAGTATATGTGTGTTTCTGATGTTTCGGTATTTTTATCATTTGATCACTTAATGCCGGATCTGAATAATTAATTTAAACTACAGCAAACATCTTAAACATATTTCACTAAGAATTGAATAAGTTGACACACTTGACCAGAGACATGACTTTTACTGTTTAATTTTGAGTGAACTAAAATTCTAAATTTAAACAAGTGTTAGAAGGATTTGGAAAACATTTGCCTTTGCCGAGGGTCATAATTTACGTTTAAATCCGTCAAAGTGTAGTGTCATTATTTTTGCCCCTAAGAGGAAAAGAAACAGTTTGAAGTCCAAAATTAAATTATACGTTGACAACAATCTTATTCAAGTTGTAGAATTTGTTCAAAATTTGGGTCTATATATTGACGAGAATATGAAATTCTTGAATCATGTTAAGCACATCTCCAAACAATGTTATATGAGTTTAAAATTGTTATATTCAAATAGAGATATATTGTCGTACGATATGAAACTACAGTTGTGTCAAAGTCTTATCCTCTCTCGCTTGTCTTATTGTAGCATTGTGTATTACCCCTGTTTGGACGCTGTTACGTCTTATCGTCTACAAAAAATCCAAAATACTTGTCGCTGTATTTTTAACCTACGCAAGTTTGACCACATATCCGCCGCTCTCAAAAGATTGAATTGGTTAAAAATCAAAGATATTTTCAAATACAACTGTTTATGCTGTTTGAATGCCAAATTAGTACTTAGAAAATCCATTCATGTCTTGAATCTAAGACACCAATCATCACTCACTATGCCATTGCACAAAACAAACAAATTTCAATGTTATTTTACATATAATGCTGTAAGCTTGTTCAACTCCTTAAGTAGCGGCCTCAAATCAAAGTTACTTGGTTCATGTAAAAATTTTAGCTTACATTTAAAAAAACAGTTACTAAACTTAATGTAAAATAATCCGTTAGCATACATGTATATCATTCATTCCATTTTGTAATTTCATACATATTTGTAATTTACATGTAGTTGTTGTTAGAAATGGGTGGTTAAGTTTGAGTGGCCTTCATGCCAGACTTCGCCCATGTAATGCTAATAAAGACTATTTATTATTATTATTATAATTATAATAATAATAATAATAATAATAATAATAATTATTATTATTATTATTATTATTATTATTATTATTACTATTATTAATTCTTTCACTGGAATTCTTCTTGCCTTCCTACCCGCGGCCTCCATTTTGCCCTGGATAATAAAACGAGGTAGATGACATTTATAATATGTCCGAAGTACTCCGTCTTCC